TCATTGAATAATAAAACATCCGACAATCTAAACAAGTAATTTATCGAGTTTGGAGCCTAATTAGAATTGATACTTTACGTTTTATTAAGTTCACTGTTTAAAAGTAAACTAGAAAGTATTTCACACTGGATGAAATTAGCTATGGTATTTCAGCATATTTCTCTACCGAAATAAATGTCTGAAGAAAGTTTAGTGATTTTGCGAAAAATGTAATTATTGAAATTTCAAAACTTACAAATGAAGACTTTTATGCCTTGAATTAGTGATTTATTTCTAATGTTTACAATTAATAGGACAGCATTCAGTTTTTTTGCTGATATTTGTAACTATTGAGGTGGTGCATATAACAAGTAATACTATCAATTAGCGCATGGTATTCTTCGATCTTGCCTTTTCAAGAATTTCTTTTGTCATATTGTTTTAAACCCATATGTTCCATTAACTGAAACATGAAAATATTACTTCTAGATGACTATAGTTTCTCAACCAACCTAATTTGTTCATATCCCCGTGAATAGCATTCAATCATGTTATCGATTAAAGACAATGTAAGAAATCATTTTTTCAAACCATTTAGAAAAATAAATCTTTGTAATGCGATGAACTGAAACAATGTTTGTTTGAAAAAATGCAATATATATAATATCTACAATATCCATCGTGTATGAAATTAATCTTATTGATTTGCTTGTCAAACTATTTTGCATGAAAAATAAAAAATCGAAGTCAAACAAGAAAATCAGAACAGTGTAAAATATATAAGCAAAAAGTGTAAAATAAGGAAATCATAAGTTAATTGTAACTTGAACATGAACTATTTAAATCGTTGTAGAAAATAGTCTTGTACACTTATACTCTCATATTCTAGATAAAAAATAGTTTGCACTATAGTGGTAATACATTTTACGGAAAGGGATGTTCTTAGGTCATTTTGAACGCTAACCTGACTGTTCTCAATTTCTGATTGAATAAATTGAGTGATTTTATTCTCTTTTTAGATTACTTGGCATGACTGATGAATTTTTTATCAATTTGTTTATGATTTATCAGTATAGTATGGTATAATTTGTCGGGTTTTATTGAAATTATGAACCGATTAATGTTATACTAACAGTAAGGACCTGAAAGTATAGAACAACGGATTTTTACTACCACGAAACTTGATGGAGTGCATCTACAACACTTTAAGCAAAGTACTGTGCTTGAACGCTTAAGCTCTAGACCAGTGAGCCAGCATCCAACAATGTTAGTGTCCAAATGCAATCAATACACGGCATTTCGTGACCCTGTGTGGATAATTATTGTTCGCTCACCTACGACATGCTTTGAGAGGAAATTCTCCAACTGCAAGTGAGAAATTGTGAAGGATGGAGTTTAACTGTGATAAGTGTGAGAGAGATGCTTAATGTGAGGTTTGCAATTCATATTTGCATCGCCTGTTATAGCTCGCCGAACATTTTTCTCCAATCACCTCTGTCCTGGGCATCCCTTTCTAATTCTATCCAACTCTTGTTCATTCTTCTCATATCTGTCTCCATTTCTCGGCGTAATTTGTTTCTTGGCCTTCCTCTTTTCCTTTGAGTTTGAGGGTTCCAAGTGAGGGCTTGTCTTGAGATGCAGTTGAGCGCTTTCCGCAGTGTGTGTCCCATCCACATCCAGAGCTTCTTCCTGATTTCCTCCTCCACTGGAATCTGGTTTGTTCTCTCCCACAGTAGGTTGTTGTTGATGGTGTCTGACCAACGGTTCCGAAGTATTTTGCGTAGACAACTGATAGCAAATACTTATATCTTCTAGATGATGGCTTTAGTATATGTTAAAATTTCCGCTCCATACAGTAGAACTGTCTTGACATTTCTATTGAAAGTTTTTACTTTGGTCTTGGTTGACGACTGTTTTGAGTTTTAGATGTTGTTCAGTTGTAGTAATGCAGCCCTTGCTTTGCCAATCCACGCCCTCACATCTGCATCGGATCCACCTTGGTTGTCGATTATGATGCTCAGACATGTAAAGGTTTTAACGTATTCCGATATATCTCCATCAAGAGTGATTTGGTTTGCGCATGTTTAGATGTATCGGAGAATCTTGCTTTTCTATTCATTTATGTTGAGACCTAGTGCTACTGCTGCTGAGGCAGCTGCTACGCTACTCGTCTTTTCTTGCATTGTTGTTCAGTATGCGATAAAATAGCCGGGTCATCTGCAAAGTTCAGATCGTCCAGCTGCATCCTGGCTGTCCACTGTGTCCCGCGCTTTTCTCCAGATTTCGACGTCTTCATAGACCAGTCGATGACCAGGAGAAAGAGAAAGTGTGAAAGTAAGCAACCTTACTTGACACCGGTCTTCACCTCGAACGAGTCTGTCAGCTGTCCTCTACGCACGATCCTGCAGGTTCATCCATCCACACTGTCAAAGCGTTTCCCGTAGTCGATGAAGTTGATGTAGAGTGGTGAGTTCCATTCGATCGATTGTTCCACAATGATCCGTAGTGTCGCAATTCGGTCAGTACACGATCGATCCTTACGAAATCCAGCCTGTTAATCTCGATGTTGGGCGTCTACGAAGTCCTTCATTCTGTTTAAAAACACCCCGTGGTAGACTTTTCCTGGTATTGAGAGAAGAGTGATACCTCTTTGGTTCTCACACTTGGTGGGATCACCTTTCTTTGATATTTTGATGAGGTGTCCTTGTTTCCAGTCTGATGGTACTTGTTCTTTATCCCAAATCTTGTTGATTAGGATGTGGAATATTTTCACAATTGCTGCCATGTGTGCTTTCATTACATCTGCTCGAATGTTGTCTGGTCCCGCTGCATTACCGCTCTTGATTTACCTCATGGCCACGCTGATCTCTTCAATTGATGGTGAGCCAACATCGATTGGGAGGTCGTATAATATCTTCGTTTCCGGTATTGTCTATTGTATCCTTGGCGTTTAGGTTTCCCATTAGAATGGTCGAATCCTTTGCTTAGCACCTCTCGACGACTGACTGCAGCATTTCGTATAGTTGTACTATAACGTTATCGGATTGATGGAAGTTAGACTTTAACACTTTTTGATACCTGCTCAGTGGTCTGGATGTTAGGTATCTGCACGAGAGTCTAAAGGTTTTGGGTCCAGTTTCTGCTTAAAAAGTCGCGGACGCACTGTTCAAGCCATATACTAGGGTGAAACAGCCGTTCATTGCTTCCATGTTCTCAATGTTGGTTTAACGTTGGATGGTTCATGCTTGACTTGAAACGCACATCTTATCTTCCTTTTCATCAGTATTTGCACATGATATATAGAGAATAGCTTTAAAAATAAATCATTTAAAATAATCACAAATTATGTTCGATTACCACTTCACATGAAAATTCCTTTCGCATAACAACGAAGCCAACCTGTTGTACTATAAGATAATTCTGTATTTGCGAAGCATTATAATTCTAGTTATCTTTGATGGTTATAAAAACTAAATTAATGTGCTAAACATTCTGAAGTTCACTGTAAAACGTGGTATTTTGTGTCAACGAGTTTATCCTTTAATTCATACATATTTTTACCTCCGAAACTAATGAACGTTAATCTTGGTAAACTTTGATGAATTTATTCAATATATCATTTTATAAAATTATTTATGTAATTTTCTTTGAATTAAAAGTCGAATTCCTTTACTAAAAGCAGGTGAATAATTACATGCAGCATCGATAAACTTATATTTTTATTTTCTCATAACTTTATCAATAAATAATGTTCATATTTCGAACATAAAGGCAATATTCCAGTATAAAATTACCACGCGAATGAGTTTGTTCATGAGTGTATGCTTTAAGTGAAGCGATGCAACGTAAATAAGTATATAAATATATATAGTACAGTTTATCCTAAAAATTCTAATGATAAACTGATAAACACATGATCATTTATAAAAATATTACATCAGCTTGATAGTCAATGACCAACATGAAGAACTCAATACCTGACCTTTCGGTTTGAAATTCTTAAGCTGCAGCCATTTAAACGTTTTATTCAAAATTGGACCAACAACTTTCATTTCATTCAGTGATAATGCAAACTAGCTAGACATTTGATTAAAATCTGTTAGTATTTTTTTTAATTGGTATTATTTCGTAATATGCTATAATTTTTAACTGAAAACTCCTATTCTGTCTCTGAAATTTTACTGACTCCTTGTTGTTAGTAAGCGCTTGATCATCGTTCACATGGTTATTGTATGAGATTTTGAGTACTTAGAATGAAACTTGTTCAAAATGTTCCATTGCTTGAAGAATCAGCGATCTTAGGATAGCTTTTCAATCAAATCTTTTCAACAATAATATTTTCCTATCGATATAACTTATATATTTTTTTATTTGATACTTGCAAATAACATATAATAAATGTCAAATAACCATATAAGCGTTAATTGTATCAATCGAATTTGCTTATCGCTGTCAATGTAATAAATTTCACTTAATATTTAATGAATAAACAAAGACGCTAACAACAACGACGATTTCACTAACGTAATAATAACTCTGATAAGGCCACCTGATCACCTAGTTTGATAAGCTTACAAAGTATTTTTAATTTTAAATTCGATAAATTTGAAAATCATGTTTTAGAGGTTTCCGCAAACGAATTCATGCATTACATCCAGTTTCAATATAACACTATCTATACACCATACTGAAAAATGAGTCAGCCATGATTTAACTTTTGGAAATTTTAAGGTCGTAGATTCAAAATTTCAGGAATGCGGTTAGCAGGCACTTAGTGTTGATGTATACTATTACCGTTTATTGGAAACACCTCCACATATATCTTTTCTGATATAAGAATATATTGCTATTAATACTAGTGAAATACAGCGAAATTCGATAGGCTGAGACTGTACATACTCAACAAAACAGTTGCCTTTCAAATATCCCTAAATATTGTATACAAATCTTTTTATAGGATATCTAACATACAGTCATTTTTCTTTTTATGTAGTGTTATTTTTCTTACAAAAACATTTCAGGTTACAGCTCCTCTAATACCCAACTGTAAAGGACCTGGTGATGCAACAAATTTCGAAAGATACAGAGAAGAACCATTGAAAAAAAGTAAAATTAATAAATTCGAAGTAGAATTTGCTGATTTTTAATGGAATAAAGTAAATTCATCAAATAAAAGTTATTTTTCCACTGAAAATTGAAATTCTTTCGGTTGTTTTTTTTACCACAAATTACCATTAAAGTCTAAACTGAATGATAAACTTGAAGGAATAGGCAAGTTCTTAACACATTTGCTCACATAATTTTAATTTTGTTTTCTACTATAAACTGTTCACTGTTTTCTTGTTTCGTTGTTTGTTTAATTGAGTTTTGCTCCATTATTTTTCGTATAAATATGTCTTTGTTGATTGTGTTTATCTTGTTATTTTTTAATATTTCCTAATAATTACTTAATAATAATAATAATAATAATAACTTCTGAACAATTTTCCAACACACTTTCATACAAATTGGATGAACATAAAACTCCATAAAACCAAAATTAGTACTTATTCTTTCAAATATTTATAAGGTATTCATACTGACAGAATTTATTAGCAACAAAATAATATTAGTTCCCATAATTCCTATATCTGTATTAATACATGATCTTTATAACGAAATTGCAAATTCCGCAAAAATGTGTACAATTTTGCCTCTCTTTTGAGTATGTCCATGTTTTCTAAGTTTTAATCAAATTAAAATGAACATTTAATCGTTGGTAATTGTTAACAGTTGCATATGAAGACATTCAATGCCTTATCACTGTATGTACGTTTTCAGCCTATTACCTATTTAACAAAATTATTGAATATTTAATCAGGATTAATTGTAAAACAATATAATAACTCATTCAAACTATTCAACCTAAATTTGTTCTGCGTTTTCAATTTTTGTAAACAATAGCCTTCGAAAAAGAATAAAGACGTAAAAGGCGGTGTAAGAAAGTTGGAATTGCATCATATCTATCATGAATCAATAGAATAAAAGTTTACCTGCATATGATATATATATATATATATATATATATATATATATATATATATATATTGTTATCTCGTTACAGAGGTGATACAAATTTATTGACTGTTAATGTTTTGAATTGTAACCAATCAGTTCTTCTTAATTAATCGAAGTGATATTCACCGAGTGTAATTGAAAACCTAAAACTTCCAAAATTCTCCTTATGATCTATAAATCTTCTTCATCATCTCTGAATTGCATGTCACTAATAAAATGCTACAAATAACAAACTAATTTCAACAAAGTTCACTATTAATAGCCTTATATTGGATGCTTTACAAGATCCAAGTTCAGTCAGTGTGAGTAAAAACTATCCAAGTGTTGTTTGATCGTGTTGCTTCAAATTTATAACGACTGTTATGAGACTAATAACTTGAGTAATATGTCACTGAAAAAAAAATCATTCAGGTAAAAATAGATTTCATGGTAAATCTAGAAACGATGATCTAGCTTACCTTATTCGTCAATAAACAGTATTCATATCTTTGTTCTTGCTCACTTCAAGATGATCAAGAAAATGATACGTAAAACAAGTTTAATAAATGCAATAAATCAAGGTTAAAAAATAATAAGAATATTAGTCACAATAAATACTCAGTTATAGATTGTGTATGAGGTGAATGAATTACTTCATCAGTCGTTCATACGTGTGAGAATTAAATTTAATTGAGCAAGTTGTAAAAGTTAAGAATGAACATTGTGAAAGAGAATTAATTTAATTCAACCTGAGCAACCGATGACAGTATCTGTGGACGTTCATCATTGCTGATGTTCCCACAGCTATACTCGGTATCGATTTCCTACAGCACTATGAATTGCTAGTCGATTCACGTAGGCTGCAGCTAATCGGTACTTCGTCGAACAGTAACTTTATGGGCTTTCGAGCTCAAACAAATGCGTACCGTATAACAGGTTTATTTCATTCGCCTGAGGACATTTTCCACGCTTTACTCGAAAAATTCCCCCAGATAACTAAACCACTCGAGGAGACTCCATCGATGACCCGGCATGTAATTCACCACATCGTCACCCACGGACCACCAGTCACGGCAAGACCTTGCCGACTGGCATCGGACAGATTAGCTTTCGCTAAACGTGAGTTCAACAGTTTACTAGCTACTGGTATTATTCGTCCTTCTCACAATCCATGGGCTTCACCACTCCACATGGTTCGCAAAAAGGATGGGATAAGTTGGTGACTATTTGGCGACTACCGAGCATTAAATGTAGCAACACGTTTTGACAAATATCCCATCCCCCTCATACACAACATCATAGCATTACTCAAGCGCACGACTATCTATTCTAAGCTTGATCTGGTACCAGCATATCATCAGATCCCAGTCGCTCTTGAAGATGTCGAGAAAACTGCTACCACAATTACTTTTGGTCTGTTTGAGTTCCTACGAATGCCATTTGGATTATGGAATGCTGCTCAAACTTTCCAGAGGTTTATCGATAGCATAGTACCAGACTTCGGTTTTGTTCACGTCCATATTGGTGATCACTAATTGCATCATCAAACGTAGATGAACATTATCAACATCTTACACTCCTATTCCAATGCCTTTCGGATAATGGAATAGTAATTAACCCAGAAAAGTGTGAACTGGGGCAAGGCAGAAATAAAATTCTTGGGTCACATAATTAAGCATGAGGATGTACTACATTGTGATGACAAAGACAATCATGGAGTACACTGTACCGTCTTCACTCAAGGAACTGAAGGCTTCTCTCGGTTTGGTTAACTTCTACTGACGTTTCATTCCTCACGCGGAATAACAGTTACGACCATTAACCGACTTACTTCGCGGTAATCCACGCACACTAGAATTGAACGATGCTGCCCATAGTGCATTTTTAGAGATAAAAAAACTTAAGCTCAAGCCACGCTCCTCTCCCATCCCGACCCATCAGCCAAGCTCAGTATAGCGGTTGATGCTTCAGATTTTGCTATATGAGCCGTCATGCAACAAAATCTCTCTAGAAGTTGACAACCTCTCGAATTTTTCTCACGACGCCTTACTCTAACGGAGATGAGATACAGCGCTTTTAGTCGTAAACTGCTAGCAGCCTACTGTGCCATCAAACATTTCCGGCACGCAGTAGAAAGTCGTAACTTAATCCTTTAATCGACCATAAGCCTCTAACGTGTGCTCTGCATAACATGTCTCACCGCCACTCACCACGATGGTGCAGACATTTGGACTATATCTCTCAGTTCACGACGGACCTTCTTCACATTAAACGCGAGTCGAACTACGTTGCCGATGCTTTGTCACGTATTCAAGTGAATGCGGTTACCCTACCGGTGCTCGATCTTCCTAATATGGCCGCCGCCCAAGCAAATGATCCCTCTTGTTCAGAAGCACAGCAAACTACTTCCCTTCAGTGTCAGGAAGTGCCCCTAGCTACTAGCTCAGGCACTATCCTATGTGATACTTCTACTGGTCTACCCCAACCCATTGTACCCTCTACTTATCGTCGTCTCGACTTCGATGCCCTTCACGGTTTGTCTCATTCAGGTATCGCAGCCACATTACGTCTCATCGTTACACGATACGTCGTGTCTTCCATGAACAAAGATGTCCGTATGTGGGTAAGGCAATGCTTACAATGACAACGATCAAAAGTGCACAGGCACGTAGCCGCCCTCATTGGCACATTTGCTAGGCCTGATTCTCACTCTGATCATGTCCATATTGACATTGTGGGACCATTGCCACCATCGCATGGGTATGATTACATACTCACGTGCATCGATCGTTTCACAAAATGGCCCGAAGCTATTCCCATCACACCTATTACGGCGGAAACAGTTGCTCACCGATTCGTAGAACGATGGACAGCTCTGTACGGTTGTCCCTAGACTGTCACAACTGACCGAGGTCAACCATTCGAGTCCAAACTATTCTCCTCGCTAACTCCGCTGCTTGTTACGAAGCGCATACGCACTACCGCCTACCACCCAGCTTCAAAGGGTTTAGTCGAAAGGTTTTATCGCCAACTCAGAAACGCTCTTCGAGTACACGAAAACAACAATTGGTACGAAACCTTACCGCTCGTCCTTCTAGGCATCAGAACGAGCTTAAAGGTAGATATTCAATGTTCCGCCGCTGAATTGGTATACGGCACGACATTGCGTCTGCCTGGGGAGTTTTTTCACCTCGGAACAGAGATTTTGGGTATATCAGATAACGTCCAACGACTACCTGCGTAGATGCGAATACTCCCTACGGTGTGAACTCGAATATAACATCGACAGGTCGCTCTCCCTCGAGAGATATTTACCTGTCGACAAGTTTTCTTACTAGTAGATTCGGTACTCAACAACCTTACGAAGGATCTTTTCACGTGATCTCTCGTCACGAAAAAACCTTTAAGGTTGACGGACACAGTCAGCATTAATCGTCTCATACCAGCACACGTCAATGACAGTGTCCTACCTGATATATCGAGATTTAATGCTGGACTCGTCCAACTCACAAGCAGGATCCTTATTTTTCCTTCTGATCCCAAGCTAGATAAACCAAAGACCTCATTCTCACGTCCCAGTCAGCAGCACGCGTCATCTGCACTATCTACGAATTACACTCCGGTTGCGGTATAGGATTTTACCATCATACTACATGCATGCTACACTATTCTCCTTTTCTTTGATTTTTTTATCCCGAGCCTATACCTCCGACCATTGCCCTGTTGGTATCGTCAACTATAGTCAACCTTTGCGAAAGCTGACCTGATCACCCACGCTCTTGTCAATGTTCTCAGTCGATTTCCTGGTTACGAATATATCTGGTATACGAATGGTTTCGCACTGGTCGTTTCTGGCTCCTTCGCTCAATCTGGTTCCGTCCTACGTCTTCAGCTTAACCTGGTCCATACCCCTAAGAACGCAATCCTCAGACTCTGGATACGAGCCACGCTGGTTTGGCATGCCAATCCGATAGATAAATTTGGCACGTCAACTCGAGCAGCAAACCTGGTACGTTACTACTGGTACATTTCAACGTAGAAGACTATCGGTGACAACACGAGCTTCATTGTTCGCCTCCTGTTCGTCAACTCTTCCGCACTACAATCAAATGTTGGCGGACCGGCCCCCACGAACGCAGCCACTATGTATCGAAAGTGTGAACCCTTTCTAGGCGGAGGCTGCTGTAGTGGAACGCTTCTACGAAGAAAATACGACTTGTGAAAAATAAACATTATTGTACTCGTTTTGTTCAACTGCACCAAACACAATTCTTACACTTTTTCTGCGCAACGTTCTCTTCGCGTTGCTGCCATTTTTTTCTACTTGCTGTTCCCGATGTAATGCTTAATGTTTCCTTCAGTAAAATCTTGGTACATGGATTTGTTTTGATCTGAATGACGGCACCGTATGGAACATTTAGTGGTGATCATGGTCAATCTGGTATCTTGACTCGCTCACCACAGTACTATACTATATTTTATGAATTTGAACTCCTGCTCAAGTAATCTTCTATTTTATAGACATTTTCAGCTCTTTGAGCATATTTTGTTTTTTAATTTATTAATTACGAAATTCGTCATCTAAAATCATTGAGCAGGTTTTTCAAATAAGTACTACCTTAAATTTGTAAACCAAACATTCGGTCATAAATACCTTTGACTTCAGTTGTAGATCAGTCCTGTTTTAATGTACATGCCAAATAAATATTGTACAAGTGTCAACTGAAGCATTCATGAATAAACACACCATCATAGCAAAGAATAAAACTAAATCGTTATTACCGATTAGTACTGAAAATAATTTAATATCTAATATAATTACAAACGTGAAAATCAACTCAATCATTGATGTGAAAACTATAAAACTTCTGTAGCTTTTTAAAATAAATCGACAGAAATCCTCGGAAATCACTGTAACGTTCTTATCCTCTTGATGTTAGCCAGTTGTAAGGAGTTACCTATCAGTCAAAGTCTCGTGTCATTCGATACTTATGCGATGAAAAATGAAAATTCTATCACTATATTCAGTTTCTTCCGATGACGAGACCTGGATTCTAGTTTTTCTGTTAATTGTCTGCAACCTTTTAGACACAGTGACGTGGTGTACACTTTGGCTTGGACTATATAGGAACTTTGTTAGTGAGATTTAGTCACTAATACATGTAAGGCAATAGGTACTCAATAGACCATATCTAGTATTTTGTTTTTGTATTCAATAGAAATAAGACAAAGTCAAAATTTATCTACTACACTTTCACATTATCAACTAGAGGTTCTAGCTAAATGGAAACCAATTTTCCATTTAGGGCTCAATTCAACTCATTTTCTCAAACGTTAGAGCCGGTAACTAAAACTTCAGACGTACGTACTGTAGTTCAAGTTGCCATATCATATTAACACAGAGACGCAGGTATGAAATCAAATCCCACAGTGGTAGATGTAGTAGAAGTATTAGCGGTAATGGACGAGATTTAGGCCCGAAAAAATTATTCGAGAAATATAATCCAGTGAAATAAATTTTAAAAAAAGAGAAAGATAAAGGTGATTGAGAATTCGGAAACACAAAGGGCGAATGCATCCGCGCCATTGCGAATGATTTTTAGCCATGACGTTCAAAGTCTCTATCCATAGGTTACTATTGTGCTGCAGACTCTGACCAGGTAGTCTACTACCTACTAACATGGCCTAGTTCACTTGTCAGTAACTCCATGGATTTTTTTGTTATTCTGACCTGACCGTCCCTAGCTTCTCACAGCCCACCACTACATCACAAAACATAGCTCGTCGCAGTAGTCGGTGGTTGGGTATACGTAACACACTTCACACATCGTGCCCGTAGAATTGATGAGAATCCCGAGACAAGTGAAGTGGTCAATACTCTCACATATTTTACTGCCTATCACTAGTTTGGATGCCGATGCAAGCCAGTCCATGGGAAGAATCGCATTTCGAACATACTTGCATTTTTGTTTAAGAAGGTCACTCAACTGCGTTTTGTCAGTGACTTCACCAAATATATATTATCAGTCACCAAGTGAGTCTCTCCGTAAAAATTCAATTCCTGAAAATTCAGATGGAGTAAGTGTTATATATAAGTGCATCTCTATGACAAAGTCGAATAAGAATGAAGAGTGGAAAACCTTGACGAACACTGGTACTCCTTTCACTGGCAAACACGATAAACATAGTTGAATGCCGCTTTCAGGTCGAGAACGTCTGAATTTATGAGTTAAAGGACCTGACGTTGTATGAATACCCGGTCTATATATCCACTTCCAGATCGTAAACCAGCTTAAATTTTTCTAGTTTGCTCTTCCTCAGTACTATTTAAGACTCAACCTATTATTATAGGTAATATGATGGAAAATACATTAGTTAAACCGATCCCATCAGGCAATCAGTGATTGAGACCAGACAAATGGCACTACACTCAGTTTCCAAATTCTTCCTAAGACGTCAATCAATCTGACTGCTAAAACTTGATTAGAATCGTTGTAAATCTAAGGAATCAGCCAACTGCTCTCTCTCGCTTTCCACTTCTTATACCCGTTGCAACATCATTAAGAGTTGGAGGACTCACATGAATTCATCATTCAGATTGACCGGAGATCGTCCGAAACCGAAAAGTGGCTGAAGACCAGTTGAAGCGAAGCCTGAAGCGTTCTGCCCACCGATCCAATCTACTAAATTAAGAATCACCAATAGTTCTCTCCCTGTCCGATTGACTATAAACAACAGTCGAATTCCTCATACCGGTTTCCTTGATAAGTCAGAACGGTTGTCTACTGTTGCCTGTCGCTACTGCCTTTTCCATCTCTCTTGCTTTCGCTATCCATCCCTGTTCGCGATCGTTACGCAGACTTCTTATTAGCCTGCACTCAAGCCGACTCAGCTCCTTATCGTGCTAGGAGGTTTCTTTGCATCGTGCTTCATACATCCAGAAAGCATCAAATGAACACGCACTCGTACTGGAGCATGATACGAGTTGTCATGAAATCCACTCTGTTGTCTTTTATTTTCGCGTAATCTACCTACGTGAGCATTAAAATGAGCAGCCGATACTACAACATACTTTCGGAGAAAATTCGAGAACTTTCCGTCAAGTTCATCTTTTATCTCATCTGAGGAGCGTTCAGTGAGAGTATTGAAAGTGATAACGGAAAATGTTCATTTCGTTGATCTTGAAGATATCCTGAAGAAAGCCGTGATAAACTCCCTTGATGCTGTTTGTCCAGTTGTCCTGTGAATCTTTAGTTTCGATTTCATCTTGATCACTTCCAACAACCAAGTGATGATCTAAACCTGTCAGCTACCCTCTCGGTTCTTACGTCTTCCGTGGTGCTTCCGTGCTTTTAATTGGTGCAGATGTGGTTCATCTGTTTCTATTAAGTGTGATCCGATGAAAACCAAGTAGATTTGTGAATGTATTTTTGTACGAAAAAAGTGTTGCATTAAACCATTTTGTTCTGATCACCTAGATTTGGGAATCTCTAACCATTTTGATCCTCCCAGTTCTTGCCGTCCCATGATTTAGACGTGTCAATGTTGCCCATTCCAACCTCGGAGTTTAGGTCTCCCATTTGAGTGGTCAAATCCTTCCTTGGTCTTTCTAAACTTATATCACTGAATTACACTTATTGAATATTATCTTCAAATCCTAATCCTCTCCATTAGCAGTGATTCTTCTACTATCTCTAGCACTATGGGACTTGAATTGACAATTGCGTCTGTGTGCTAATGCGGTATAACAACATGAACTGATGTACTTACGTACGATGTTCTACGTTGTAACTAACTGACTGTCTATCGTCCCATGATTTATTCGTGTCAAATGTTGCCCATTCCAACCTTGGCGTTCAGGTCTCCCATATGAGTGGTCAAATCCTTCGTTGGGCATTTTGAGACGATTGACTGTAGCCTCTCATAGAATTGATTCCTATTGTCCTCATTGTTACCAGCGGTAGGCGCACCGACCGAATAACATTCATTGTAATCCCCTCTATTGTTGTTTTGAAGGATGGTTTGATGATCCTAGGTCGATGAGCTTTCCATCCAATCAGTGCTCCGGGTGTGTCTTTGGACAGAGTCAGTACAGCTCCTTGTGTGTGAGATATTTTCTTCCTCATAACTGAAGTATAACAGCATCTCTTCCGAAGCTAGTCTTTATTGTCCAGCCTACGTCGTAAGTGTTTCACTGGTTCCAAGTACCACCAGGTTGTATCTTTGCATTTCTGTGGCAGCTTGCATGATCCACCCCGTCTTTCATAGTCATTTCTATGAAAGGTTAAGGGTATGAATGGTTCCACAGTGTCTGGAGACTGACGACCTAATTATATCCTTCTTTTACATATTAAAGCTTTATTTAAATTCTACAGAACCCACGTGTTTTTCTGCCTTTTCCTGATACTAGTTTTGAGAGACTATTTTTCTGTGTATTTCGACCCGACAGTGTCATTTTTAATACACTCGTAGTTTCATATCCATCTTTTGCTGCACGTATTTATGTCTCCAGTTTTACGTATTGACTTCGTACATGTCCGTCGATTCCATTCCGATAGACTAGGAACTGACGTAACGGGTTGCTTAAAAGAAGATGAACAATGTCCTTAACAGTATCGGCCTATCATTGTAACGGGACGTTAAGTACAGCTGAGTCTCCGGAAAAGAGTAAAATAATATTTTTCGGAATTCAAAATTTCGTAAAACTATAATACTTTATCATGTTTTTAAAATAAGCGGGTTAAACTAACACTATTGATTGTTACACACGCTGAAACCCATATTGGCAGTGCTAGATGAATAGTCTGAAAATACAACGCACAAGATTGGGTTCATTTCTATGTTCTCGAAACCCTACACGGGAACGCACAACATCTCTTGTAAATTAATATCCTCCTCGACAGTGGGCAATTGATTTTAGCGTAGGTAGTGAAGTGTAACCAAATGTTCAAAGAAATTAAGTGTGTCAAGGGCGTGCAAACGTCTCCCATTGACGCAGTGAAACCAATATTTTTAACATCTATTATGAACTCTACACTTCCAAAAAATTTTTACGTAACCTCACAAAAGGCCATTGGCCGTGAGAAATTGTCGAGAGAGACTATTTGGAAGTGCTGAAAATTAGAGACGTGATAATAATTGCGTACATGCAATGAAAGTACATTATTTATACACCAGTAAAAAAGGTCGCAAATTCACTGTAAGCCTTATAAATTGTCTGTCCTTGTTACTTTCTAAAGAGAATCGATTCCCTCTCCTACCTCATCCTAGTGTAACTATGTCATAGTGAACTAAGTTTTCTATTGACAATATTATTGCACATCAGCTATATCTATTCAGTGCGTATGCTTTTCTGTGAATGGTCTGAATGAGCCAGTTTTAACGACAAATTGCAAATGATGCCGTCTAAAACAAAAACCAGACGATATCTTACGATCCACCAGTATCACACTTTCCGAACACATCATTCTTTTCGGACATCGAGCGAAACGAGTGACTGTCTTCGAGACCAAGAAACGACAGTATCATCGTAAACCTCTTTACTTCGAACCGCAAGTGACAACAGAAAAAGTAGAATCCTGGTCTCATCATGCAAGCACATATTAGGACGACTTAAATATTTCTGCCTCAAGGCCACGACTGAAATCTACTGAGCAACCTTGAAATTACAGACGAACACGTCAGTTATCGTCTGATACATCTAATCCATTCATTAAGCAGTGTTTTTATTTTCATTCTTGCTCTTTTTCTATCATATTTAACCACAATATTTGAACTGTCACTCAGAATCAAGTCCACTTGGAACAAAGATACACTTGACCAGCATAGCAAAGTCTATAAATATTACATGGAAATTAAGATCACCACACATTATCGTACGAAGAATCTATAAACTCTATTGTGTTGCATTTTCCTTCCGTGGACAGGAATACCAATTAAACCGCGCTATTCAAACATCAAGGTAAACTCATTGGCGGAGTAATTGTACCCGGACGATTGATTCGTCAAAAAAAGTTTTTGTGATTAATAGTCTGAAGTGTCTGATTATATTTGTTTGTTTCTTGTTTTCGATAGTATAGTGATCTCAATTCTCCCAAAAACACCTTGAAATTGATATCGGACCTGTTTTATCTAGGAATAAATAAAAATCCGAGGTGCATCTTTCGGAAAATTACAGACGTTTTAAGTTTTTCACTTAATTATAAGCATGTTTCACTTTTGTGCATCGAGATAAAGTTGTCCCTTTCATCTAAAATGTTGACAACTTTATCGTACGTACGGTTAGCCGATCAATTCAAGGGCCATACTTTTGAGATATTGCTTGAAAAATGATATTTGTGTGCACATGAATCTTTAGCTAGAATCGAAGTAGTGATCTAAACTGGGAATATATATATGGACAGGTTAAGGAAAATTCTTACCATGTTAGCCTAGTTAATAGTAGCTGTTATCCTGATGCGATGATTAAGTTGCGGTGATGTAGTTACCTAGTGACGCAATTATGTGCGGTTAATTTGTTTCTTTATGTCCCAACACTCCACACAGACTAGTTTGTGAGAGGTAAGGTGAAAATAACAAACTTGTGTTCTGAGAGTTAATTTGCACTGTTGATGCCACTATAGTGTGACTGCACCAACATTTTTCCATGTAAAATGCCTAAAAGTATGGATCTAGCTAATTTAAAACTACTCAAGCAGTTTTATTTTTTACACTGCAGTCATGCATTCTGGTCGCCCAGATCACTTCTAACTCAGTTTCCGTCACGTTTACCTCGATGCGAACTCTCATTGTATGGTGCAGGCACCTGTAGTTAATGACTCATATCTGTCTAGCAAAATGTAAGAACATCTCGTTCACTATCGAACCACATCTCGATTACTCGTCTGAAGCAAGTGTTCCAATAGCATCACATGTTTTCTGGTATTCACGAAGTGCTTCTTCTGTTGGACTTGCTGTAGTCAGGCTTGCTTTTCGTGTTCTGAACGTTCATTCTTCTTTATGTGCTTTTGCACTAATCGCTAGTAAACGAGACCATTCAAAGAGCTACCTATCTACTATAATTGCCATCCATTTAGTTTGTATTACCCAGTCTTCTGTGAAACACTGCTGCGTAAATGAAAGACCTAGGAAGGTTTAAACTGCTAAATAATAAAATAATTTTTTGGAGTGTCAAGTTATTTAAAACTTTTATTTTCCAAAATTTTCCACTTAGGTTTGTCTGATCTGCATATAAATTCATCATATAATACATCAAGACAAAATGAGTGTGGTCAACAATCCACCGAGTAGTGTGAAAAATTCCAGAGATGCTATCGATTGGAAAGTATACCTATTTTTTCAGATGTCATGTTTTGTTAGAATATGGTTAATCATCCAGCATTCGGGACGGAAGTCGATCTCGAATCAGACTTGCATCCAGCTATGGAAGCTTTGCAAGCACTGAAATATGAATCAGAAGATCCAAATGGTAAATTCATGTGCCACATCACATTTGCTTTTTTATTGATTAGCTAATGCCCTTAGTTATAAAGAAGAAGGAAACTACTATTATAAGAAAAAAGAATTTTCTAAAGCAATCTTGTCCTATACAGCTGGTCTACAAGCAAAGTCATCAGATTCTAAATTAAATGCAATACTGTATACCAACAGAGCAATATGTCACTTCTATTTAAGTAAGCGTCGTCTCCGAAATTCTCATTCTTCAGTGAACTACCGATCATGTATCCGCGATTGTAAGTCTGCTGTTAGTTTATCACCGGATTATGTTAAAGCTTATGTAAAAGGTTTGGAGTATTTTATTATCAAAAGTTTTATATTAGGAATTGAGGCCTGTTTGGCACTTTCAAAAGTTGATGAAGCTTTAGAATTGTCGTCAACCGGTTTGAATGTACTGCCTTCTTCTCCTGAATTGCTTGAAGCACAATATAAGGTTCTTAAAAAGCAAATGGAATTAGATAAGGAAGCTGAGCACAGATCAAAACTCAATTGTAGAAAAGAAGATGTAAATGCTGCATATGAGATCTTAAAGGTAATTAACCCATTTTCATTGTTATTTGGAAGAATAGGACTTGTTATCTTTTATAGTTATATATTTGATGCTAGTTGAATTTTCATGATCCTCACGGATAAACAACTTAGTATTTAGTTGTTAAAGCATATTCAGAATGCCGTCCTATCAACTCATTTTCTATTTTGACATTCGGATTTTAGTTAAGAAACTCGGTGATAATACTTAGTCTAAGTAGTAATTTACGTTCTCTATGATCGATGGGTTTTAGTTTACTTACAATGAGCTTTAAAGTGTCCTTTTTTTCCACTCATACTTCGACATACTTTAGGCCCAATGATTTTGAAAACAAAACTCCCGGTCATCGAGACACCATAGTTCTGTCACAAAAACAAAAAGATTGTAAGTTAAGTCTAATAGTTGAACCATTAAGTATTTAAGAGGGTAACAGAATTATAACTATCAACTTCAGAAGCTTGAAGATCTGTTCTGCGGAGCAATAAATATCTTATATATAATATGGCTTTAAAAAGCTACTGTGGTTTTTCGTAAAAGTTGTTAAAATTGATGAGTATTGGGTTAACTTAATGATTTTACCAGATAGTTATCCTTAGAAAGTCAATTTGTGAATCCCTAACCGTTTATTTCTTATAACAACTGAAACACAAGATATGACATTAGTGCTTATCAAAATCCATTTTTGATTGCAGTACTTAATGTGTGACATTTGTTTTAGTTTAAATTTCTTCAACATTTACGCCATCCCATGCAAATACCATAAACGCCTCAGCGTCATAGCTTTTTAGTATTTAGAATCTTAACATTCATTAGTGAACATTGAATCATAAGCTAATCTTCTGAATGCCTCATGAACGTTTTTCTCTTTTTTAAATTGATTCTACTGCAATATACTTCTCAAATCACATCTTCGATCCCAAATCTTGATTACCGTGAATACTTATACTGTCTCTACTACTGTGGGATTGGAATTTACAATTCCATCTCTCTATGTTAATGTGGCATTGCAACTTATGTACGTATGTACGAAGTTTTACGTTGTCACTAACCAACTGAATCACAAGTGCAGATGAAAATGTATAGTTCCACTGTATTGCAAAATAAATTATTGGGTATCTGTATTAAATATTCGGTATCTTCCACAATAAATGAAGAGTTCATTCTTATTTTTCAGAATATTCAAAGGTACAGAACACTTTGTTAAATACCTTTCGTATGTTTAGACCGTCATATTTAATCGCACGCCTATCACATCAATGAATCTTATTAATTAGCTTCTACTGGTTAACACCATTTAAATTAATTGTAAAGCCGCTCATCACCCTATCATATTTAACCACTTTCTACACTATCTAGTCACGTGGAATTGATGTTAATCTTATATCAAAACCTATTGATATGCCAGAACTGAGTTGTTCGAAATTTCATGTGGATTCATTGGGGAAATTCCACTGGCCCATCTTATTCATGTATCCTGAATTCGGACAAACTGATTTCCTCAAAGATGTAGTTGAATCAAGCACGTAGGTTTTTTGTATTGTAAAGCTTGATATTCTCTAAGTATTGTATCCATTTTATTTATTATCTTCACTAAAAGTCTATATCAATTAAATAACTATTAGAAATTACTCGGTCTCTAAACACTGTGAGTATTATTATTATTATCTCGCGATTTCGGAACACATTGAACTTATGTTTCCTAGCTTTGTCTAACACTATTCAGTCACAAAGTATACACCCCTTTAATCAAATTTGAGCTGTGTCTTACTAGTTACTTCAAAGCAGGATAAATGAATCAGCGTTGAAACTCATCATCTAATTTACGGAGTTGAAATAGTTAAAGTACTAAGTTTGATCTTAAAAACTGTAGTAGGTTGGATTGTTTTTACAAGTTCTAGATAGCGTTTTTTGTTACAGATTGTTATAAGTTCGTACATAAATATTTTTTGACAAGTTTGTTTCGCTCTGAAGAATATGATCCTAATATACTTACTGCTTAGTCAAATTTCATTTACTGGCTGTCCATACGTCCAACAATAATATTAATAAAGATTGAGTTATACAAAACTCATATCACATCAATCCTTCAGCGCCTGAATTAAAGATAAAAGAGTGATAATCTCTTTGTCAGGAAGAGCAGTTTTTAAAAATTTATACTGGTGAGTTTCTGCGAAATTTCTTTCTGGGGCTCTTTGGGGGTTGCTGCCAATCCATACTTACGCCTGTTACTACCCCCCAATGGACCATAGGCCGTGGACCAGCATTCTCCAACCTACTCTCCTGGGCCTTCCCTCTTAAGCCTAATTTCAGGAGGAGCGTTGGGCATGACGTTAGCCATCCCATCTCGCATAAAACCAACTTGCTGAAGAAACGTTGACCAAACCATTCAAACACCGTCCTGGGAGTTGGAAGGTCTTCATTTAGAAAATTCATGACGCCTTACGTTGAAAGCCGGGTTTCTTCGTAAGTGACGAAGCCGGTGCCCCTTTTCACAAGCACAGCAACCATTTACATAGGTGCAACGATTGTTTTTATACTGTGGGAGGCCGGGAGAACTGTTCGAGCTGCCACAGAAATGCAAAGATACAACCTGGTGGTACTTGGAACCAGTGAAACACTTACGACGTAGGCTGGACAAAAAAGACTAGCTTCGGAAGAGATGCTGTTATACTTCAGTTATGAGGAAGAAAATATCTCACACACAAGGAGCTGTACTGACTCTGTCCAAAGACACACCCGGAGCACTGATTGGATGGAAAGCTCATCGACCTAGGATCATCAAACCATCCTTCAAAACAACAATAGAGGGGATTACAATGAATGTTATTCGGTCGGTGCGCCTACCGCTGGTAACAATGAGGACAATAGGAATCAATTCTATGAGAGGCTACAGTCAATCGTCTCAAAATGCCCAACGAAGGATTTGACCACTCATATGGGAGACCTGAACGCCAAGGTTGGAATGGGCAACATTTGACACGAATAAATCATGGGACGATAGACAGTCAGTTAGTTACAACGTAGAACATCGTACGTAAGTACATCAGTACATGTTGTTATACCGCATTAGCACACAGACGCAATTGTCAATTCAAGTCCCATAGTGCTAGAGATAGTAGAAGAATCACTGCTAATGGAGAGGATTAGGATTTGAAGATAATATTCAATAAGTGTAATTCAGTGATATAAGTTTAGAAAGACCAAGGAAGGATTTGACCACTCAAATGGGAGACCTAAACTCCGAGGTTGGAATGGGCAACATTGACACGTCTAAACGATGGGACGGCAAGATCTCTGTCGATACTTTGTGTGAGACTCAAGGAAAGAAAAATAAGAAGACAGCAATTAATATCAGCCAAACATGACCAGAGGTAGCCAAGGCATAAATTAAATACACAGAAGCAAACAAGCAATTGGATTGAAGCATTAATGTTGATAAATGTAAATGTCTGGAAGATGTAGTATACTTACTAACTCGAGAATTCGATGCAGACATAAAGATTGAATAGTAATCGGGTGGCACTTGGAAGGAAGATCCAAGACAGAGTAGCGGTGTGAATGCTGCTGGGCGGCCTATGCTGCACTAGGTGTAACAAGCCTCAGTAATGTGTACCCATTGTTTAGTTTGATAAATGATTATCTTAAAATGTTATGCTCAACCATAAAATGGTCGACTGTATTTTTCCAGTAAGTAAGTAAGTATTTTTTCAGCATCAAATTCTTGTAATGGGATTTCCAGAATATGCTGAAAGTCAGTGACAGTTTTTGAAAGCGATATACTGTCATTGCTCTCCCCACTTTTCGCACGTTTTATCCGAAACTAACAATTTAAATATGATCACGCATGGAACTGTATGTATAAAAAATGAATTAGCCGTTAGTAGTTGAATTACTCAAAGTAAAGTTTGATTTCTTAATTTTCATTCAGGATCATCGATTGTTTGAATATAATTTTCGGTGTGAATCAACCTCCTCCATCATGGGATCCTAAGCACCTATATTCACTTGAGGATAATGCTATAAAGGTAATATTCATAATCATGTTATATAATTGTTTTTTTAGTGTTCTTTTAGATCAGTATCTGAAACTATATTCCCTTTAATTAATGTTCGGTATGGGTAATGATAAAACTTCTTTAATGAAGACTTCCTCAATGCCCTCTAGCTGAACCGATGAAGAATGTATCTACTTGAGCCAACTGAAATTTGTGCCAAGTTGTACGTTGTTACTAGGTAAATGGGATTGCAGCTTATTGTTCTGTGATATTCTAGTTTAACCAGTCATGGAAGAATTTGATTCCTTCCTATGTCTGTCTACCACACAAAGTTAGTTCCATAAAAGTTTACTGACTTTTCATTACAACGAATATTCAGATAAATTAAGGATATGAAAGATTATGGTGTCTCTGGGTCTATTCTACGTGCTTTATCGAGTGCTTACTTAAGACTTCAATCTACAGATATTAGATTTAGTTGCACAGAAGAGATTCATTAACAAATCACATGTAACCTATTTGCTAAACGTTTAACCTTAGACGGTGTGCCCCATATGGCTTAAACTTCTTTTATAGTAACTTTCAACGAACCTATTAGCTATGCAATACCTGATTTATTCGTTTGTAACCAATTCTATGCTTACCAGTTATAGGATATATGCTCTAACATGATGTCCTTCTCGTTTTTAGTGTCCAAAAGTTTTACTCACATCATAATGTCAAAGGAAAAGTTAAAGAAGAACCAAGATAATGAGTTTCTCTATTTAATTTCACTGTAACTATACTAAGAAGTCATTATTCTTTCCTTACTATTGGACGAATATTATTTTAGCGATATGTTTTTAAAATATCAACTCTAGTAAAACAACGCTTTATACGTCCTTTTTAACTAGCTTAAACCATTTATAATATCCAGGAAATCAGCGTTGAGAATTGGCCCTCTACACAACTTTAATAATTTGTATTATCAATATATTTTCTGAAGTAAGAGTATTTACTCTAGTTGAATCGTCCCAACCGTAGATGCTACCTTGAAGTGGTGGTCGGGCTTGCCTATCGTGATGACCCAATCGAGCTACACTGGCTGGAACATATGTTCCTGAAGGTTCTACCATGCCAGGCAGGTCGATTGGAGAACGATGAGGTTAAAAGCAGCTATTCAAGGTCAGAGGGCGAAGTCGTACTGCTCACTACAGAGGGGTGTGACAGCAGTAAGCTGTTTCCCTCGGACAACCAGCATCTGTAGCGATGCTGCCTTCTCACAAGGAAGGAAGAGTTAGAAAAGGTCGACCCTAAAAATGTCACACCTCACCCTACCTCACGGATTTCCATCTCCGGCGGTAAGGGCTGCCTAATAAGGGCTTTTAAGAGCGGAGCTACTACTCAAAAAACCTTTCATAAAAAGGCCGTGCGTGACCGGACCCAAGCAGTTATCTCTTTGGCTCTTCGGTCACGCTCCAAGGTCTCTAAGACCAACACTAATCTACCTTCCTTCTCAGGTTCCTCAAGAAACACCCTTCCACGGTGTGGGCATCCGGAAAGTGACATCCGCTCTCATACCCGTAACAGCACACGAGATCAAATCGGTCACAATCAAATCCTTTCTACACCTCTTAATAACTCTCCTATTTCCTCGACCAACACTTCTTTCGATCGTTTATCACCTCACGCCACTGAAGCAAACGGTAATAGCTCACGAAACATTATTCATGGTCTCTTGAAACCCCGTACTAAATTACATATTGGAGCTTCTAGTGTTCGGACCCTATGCCAAATAGGGCAGCAGGCTTCATCAGCTAGGACTCTGGAATCTCGAGCGATCGGTGTGTGTTGCGTCTCCAAAACGCGCATTCAAGATCCAAATAAAATCATCAACAGGATCCGAGTAGCGTCATTCACTTGCCTTCACCATTTAAAGATAAAAAAGCAACTCACTTGACGCTTCGTGTATCTGGAAGCCCTGATGCTTCTTCCAGGGGTCTCGCTGGTGTGGATATAGCATTGAGTCCTAGGGCAGGACTAGCTCTCTTAGACAGGATCCCGATAGATAGTCACTTATGCGCTGTCCGACTAAACGGGATAATACGGACTCGGAAGGATATGGACACCCGCTGTTGCCCCTTCGTCGTATCTGCCTACACTCCCACTGACTGCAGTTCAGACGATGTGAAAGATGAGTTCTACAGAAAGCTTTCGGACCTCCTCCGAAAAGTTAGGCACTCTGATATAGTAATAATGGCTGGCGACTTTTACGCTCAAGTAGGTAGACTAAGTGAGCAGGAAAGACACCTGGGTGGATGTTATGGTGTCGCGGCAGAACAGGTAATGGTGACCGTCTGCTGCTGCTGTGCTCAGATATTAACATAAAAATTAAATTTAACAGAATGTTGAATGTGCTATAAAAGACTTAAAATATATCCTTTTGTCACTTTGATAGAGTTTCGTTCTCTAAGCTGGATTTCTTACTTGTGGAACTTTCATTGTTTTACTGAACAATGTTATCAATAAAAATTTCAAGTAGAAGTGAAGTATTGGAATTTCTCCACATAAAACTCGTAGCTAGTTCTGTTGATCTCGACTGCTTGTCATTAACTTTAAACCTGTCGTTGTCCACCCCTTGGTTTTGATTGCATCCCTGTGGTTGATCGGTGTCTTGAAACAGATCCAGCTGAGGGGACGAAACTCCATCACAAGCATCCATCTCAGCTACGAATTGTTTACAACGTTTTTTGTCAGTGCGTAATTTCTTAATCGATTAAATCTTATATTTTCTTTCCTTCCCTCGTCTTCAACTTCCATGCTTATTACTTGTTCTGTACAGATTTTAATACCCGAATCTCATTGGTTGTTTTCCGACCAGGAACGTAAATGATTCATGTGACATCGTTTAATGAATGACATATTAAGTGACTGTGGTCATATCAAAATGCCACACGTAGAAATTTTAAATTCGTTTTTCAAGAATATTATGTAGTTTCAAGTTGTCAGTGAATTTTTGAATGATTCAATTTGCCGTATTTTTGTGACGTGTTCTGATGAGCTGTAACTATGTGAACACCACTTAAATCAACCCATCATACTCACTCACCTGATTCAGTTGACAGCTTAGCGATTTGTTAAAATCCCAGTCTCCATTTTTAGAAATTAAGGACTAGTGTCTAGTAACTATAAATGCCATAACACGGTTCACTGTCCCTTTTGTTTTTATCCACTATCTGATCTTAACGATTTTCGGGTTACAATTCTTTTTTTTTCTGTTACTAATTTATCAAGGTTTATTTTGAACATGACAAATTGGAAAAGTTTATTCTTTGTTCACCGGAATGGACAATTAAAAAGCTAACTAAACAAAATGGGTAAGCATTTTCCTTAAAAATTATGATCAAAGCAGTTGATTTATCATTTGTCAGTCAACAACAGCAACATAAAACTTCGTATGTACGTACATCAGTTCAGGTTGCCACACCACATTAGCAGAGACGCAATTGTCACTTCAAATCCCATCGCTGTAGAAGTGTTAGCAGTAATCGGAGAGATTAGGGTTCGATTATATTATTCAAGAAGTGGAATCTGGTGGGGTTAAGTCCTAAAGAATGTTTTATCAAATATTTGTAGATATTATACAGTACGATGTTCACGCTATCAAAACACTGAACTTTTAACCACCGAGTTTGAATTTCACTGTACTTCGACCTAGTAGTATCATCCCATTCTAATATAAAAACATTGTGCCTAAGAGCCAGAATACATAAATTTACAATCAGTAGTATTGCATAAGAAATTACAGCGATTCGGAGTGTTCAGTTTTTCTTTCCATACTGCATTGTTTACGCATTATATCTACAAAATAAAATGTACTTCAAGAGTAGTTAGTTCTACAACTGAAAAATTAGTAAATTTTCAGTAACTGAAATCAATGAGATATTCTAATCACGCTCATTGTTAATAGACTAGGTGTTCGCGCGTGAGATTCCTGCTGATGGTGTTGTAAACGCGCACTGCCGATGAGTCTCATTCTAGAACAAGACAGCCGTCCAGTGTATCTTGGTTTCTGATGGTGGTCTAACATTGATCAGTTCATGATTTCAATGAAACTCATTGTTAGTGTTGTAAATTGTTTGATTCAGCGACAATTCTACTAATGCTGTATTTTAAAAACGATTGTTCTTATCATCACACTTAAAGCTTCCTAATTCTGTACAAATTAAGTGACTTTTAGCCCAATGAGATTATGAACAAAGCGTGTTAAATTTCGTTCGTCAAATATTAGATTACAGTGTATGTTTCTACATAGTTGACTAATTGCTAGAAACAACTCTTGCTTCTCAACATAAAAAAAATATTCCATTATCAGTTCATTTAGATGGATGCATATTTTAACATCGGTGTTTTTAAGGAGTGGGGGCCAATTTTTAATTAATCACCACTCAAAAATGTCAATTTGTAATAAAATGTATATTCAACGCCTCATAGTTCTCATTAGTTATTTCATGAATAAATTTTAATTCGTGATGAAAACTATCTTTAAAATAATAATAAGAAAAAAATATTTTGCATATTGATATTTCATTTTGGCATCTGTCAACAGTTTTCGTAATCAACAAATTATCAGTGTATTTTTTTTATTCTAATGTTTAGATTCACTGTCCGCAGAGACTTAATCATCGTTTTACACGTAGTATCTAATCGATCAACACATTTCTATACTAGTTGGAAAGATCTAAACACTTAACTCTGCTGACTGACCAGTTTTTTACACGTTATTTGTAATCAACACGACCCTCCTTTTTCAAAAATTCTGTGTAAAATAAAAGCCCGTTTGTAAAAATACTTTATTTGTAGCCCTTCTGTGCTTATCTGTTATTTACTTGTTCAGTGCCCTGTAGTTTATAGTCAAAGTAAACATTTCAAAAGACAATTAGATTAGGGAATTTCTGGTGAATTCTAATTTACTGGAATCGGACTCAACATTTTGTATTTAATATGGTAGGTGCATAATATATATTTCGTGATGGATAACTAACATAATTTTATCGTCAATTATTTCGCTATGCTTGCGCAAATTAAGATGCGATTTGATATCGGCGAACGAACCTAGACCAGTGACAATAACAGGACAGTACCCCAGCCCAACTAACTAGACCAAGAAGACTAAAGTCAGCTGAAAGATGGTATAATTCACAATCTGCCCCGAGCGAATGAATAAACAAGGATTCAAGGGTAACCACAATAGAATAGTCTTTTCGGATAACAAACTAAAAACGGATATAACTTGTTTGAATACTCTCTAAAATCATTTTTAGTTAGTCCATTCGAGATTGAGACATTCAGACGAGTAAACACAAAGCAACTCTATCAGTATAACCCAGTTGGTTCAAAGGAATGGAAAAATGTGACACCGGTTGCTAATCAGTTGTATTATCATCATAACTTTTGAGTTGAAGAACAGCTAGAAAACTTTGGTATAGTATTATCTAAATTAGATGAGTTTGCGTGATCGCCACCTGATTTAAGTATAATGGTTTACCAACTTTTAAGGAAGCATATTATCTGCCCCTGTTATCTTCCAAAATACTCTCTATCATCAGGATGTGATGTATAGCGATCTCATTCATCCATTAGTGAAATGTTTTCATGATTTACACGAAGTTATCTTTGTTGCATTTAAGTAACTATGTCGAGGCTGGATATTGTATGGCACGCTCGAAACGTTTACATTACCCATCAAATTAATAATGGCTCAAACTAAGTTACACTGATCCAGAATCAAAAATCATTAATCTTACTATTATGTGAACATTACCAACGAAGAAGGCATTGGCTTCTATCAATACTGAGATAAAAGTTACAATTCAGTTTGGTTTGTTATTCTTGTATTGTTAAACTATTTAGTTAAATCAAACAGATATATAGTAGTGTTCGTAAGAATAAGAACGCATAATGGGCAGCAATGAAATTATAACAAATATATATAGTTCAGTTCTCAAAACAATCTACTAGATAAATAACTGAATAGATATGTTGAGGCTTAGAAATAAAACCATGTACAAATAACAGTTTTAGAGAAAGTAACAAAAGAGACTAAATCAAGATGATAATTTTTATATAAAAATGATATGTGAGCATGAGTAAATCAACAACGCCGACATGATTAAAAAAAATGGAATGAGAAAATATTAAAAAAAAAAGACAATAATCATAATAAGTAATGTGTAGACGATATGATAACAGTAAGCAGTACAATAAGTAAGACCCATTGTATATATATATAGTCCTAAACTGAATAACTGTTTAAATCACAAGATAAAATATTTTAAGAAAAACTGTTGATAATCACATAAATAAAACAACAGTGTAGTGAGGAACTAAGATTTACGCAAAATAATGGAAGCCCCAGGTTATGAGCATACATAATAAAAGAAGAGGACAACCAATCGATTCACTAGGAAATACGATGTGTTCGATTAACGATAAGGTTTCCTCAAACTATAACATACCTTCTACGTTTCCTGATTGTCTTCGATGCTGAAATATTCGGAAAAAATACATCAGAAGCGAATAATCCTAAACTACTCACAATTTAAAAGAATGATAACTGAATTAATTAATCATCTTTAAACCATACAATTTGTTTTAATCCCTAACTGACTATCAATCACAGCCTACTATGAAAACTACCCCAAAATACTATAACCTTAATCTTATTCAAAGTAAATAGAAGCAAGAATTAACTAGTACAAGCGATGAGTTTGTTTCTTAAACCGTAAAGAGTGCTCTCTTCTTTCTTGTTACCAGTGGACCAATAGTAACATAGTCATCTTTCAAAAATATGAACAATGCCATACTGCAAGTTAGATTTGTCTAGATACACTAACAATTAGAGAACGTTATGATAGAACATTTGGTTATAGGATACTGGCTCTAATATTTCGTCACTTTGGTGATAGTTAGAACTATTCTTAACAATAAGGTTTGACTTGATAAATTAAAGTAAATTGAGAAAATTAGTTAGATCACTAATAATAATGTCCTGGAACGCTCTCACATGACTGCACGGGTAAAGACACTGTCAGAGAATTTCTACTCACTATCTTCTCGTGACGGGAGTGTTTACGAAGTTGAGAAGATGGAAAGCGAGTGTCCGGTGCAAAAACAGGGTTGGTGGGCACGGTAGATGCATCTAGAGGAGTTGGAAAACCCTGATTTCAAACCAGTGGTGCACATGAGCTCCAGGATACTAAGGGAATACATAGCGTATGAACGTATTGTCGGCCACCGGTTACTAAAAGACTGCATTTCCTGACGTTGCTTCATTGTCTTGTGGTTTAGACCGAGGAATGGCCCCTAAGAAAACCAACTTTCGTTTGGGCAGCATCCTACCCCACTCACAAATTCGATAACTTGTGTGGCGCATACATATTTCGACGCTCTTTGATACCAATAACTAAGTGTTGAATAAATTTAAAAAATACCAGCCAGTAAAAGAAAGGGATTTCTTAAGTTTCGCAACCTAAGTCGTTTATTCAGAGATTAAATCAAAAAATAAACTCACACGAGTTTACAGCTTGCAGTTATATCAAGGTTAAAAAATTTCCAACATTAAACTACAGTTTACATGGGAAATATCGCTTGTATTCATCCTAATCGTCGTCAAAACCAATTATAAGACTAAAACGAAAGTATTACATTTTTAAATTAACGATCACAGAACGTGTATGCTAGTAATGCAATTGTCGGAGAGGGGATTCAGTATGATAAGTCTGAATTCCATGACTTATGATTGTGAATAACAACAATTATCCGATCTTGACTCATGAAATCAACTAATAAACCAGAAAAAAATAACGTGGTAGTAATGAACTACGTATAAGCCAACATTAAAACAAATATTGCATCATATACGAATAGTAAAGAACACTGCTTTTGCTCTAACTCACTGATCGCCCAGAATGTCTGGATCGATTATGATTAGGTACTGCACCATAATTATCTGTTTGTAATTGCTTTCGGTGTTTGAAACTAGATTTGTACTGATTATGATCAGCTTTATCTTCAGTGAGCGTTACAGTTTGCTCTTCATCGTTCTCTTCCGAATGATATTGTGGTTTCTTCTTGTAGTGGGAATTCAAAGGGCTCAATTGATCAGATCGTCTGAGTTTGTCTTTTTCCTGATTAAGATGATTATTAGGAAGCATTACACCTCCAAATACTGGTACACCACCAACAGGAGGTTTATGACTGGATGATAAATTGCTTATTCTATTGTTCGGATCATAAGAATAATTATCTTTTTGCTGGACAGTGTTCGGTAATGATTCATCATGATGCTTTTTACGACGATGAGTTTTAGTATTTGCATATATAGGAGAATTCGGTCTATGTCCATTTGTGGAATTTGAGATGTCAGAAGGATGCCTACCTTTACGATCGTTTCGACCATGTTGAATAACAGGATAATCACTTGACTGAGACCCACTTGTAACAGATAATATTTCGTTTGGCTTAGATTTTTCGGAATGTCGATAATTTACATAATCATTATAAGGAGCTTCATTTTCATAGCTCTCATTTACAGATCCGTATGATAAACTATTCGCAGCACCATCACTGCATTGTTTACTTAATTGAGATTGTACATCTTGTGCTTCAGACGCAACAGACTCGGAATATGGATGATGTCGTGGGACAGTGCCGTATAAATGCGTTGCACCACCATTCCCATTGACCTAAAATGATACATAACAGATTATATGCGTATGTATACGCAGAAGCTAGTGTGAAGACACGATTACATTGTGACAAACTACTTTGTTAGCTACAAATTTTGTAAATGAAATCAAAACATAACAGTAAAGCGTGCAGTACCAATATTATCAGTAATAATCAATCCATAGTAAAGTTGAAATAAAGGCAAATGAAGAATACATACTACTAATACGATGAAGGTTAATAAATTTCATCTCATAGAACAATTTATCTATCCGTGTAGATAGACAACATTTGAAAGGAAATCAATCACTTGGATGAAATATGACATTGACTTTCAACAGTTAGAAATCCACAAAGATGCACACCTCACGTCCACCATATCTATCAATGACGGGGAAACGCTAACTAAGAAAGAAATATTTATCGATTTTATTTTTTGAAGTACATAATTCTAAAGCACGGTCATAAAACTCCAAAAAACAAGCTGCCCAATTTATGTATCATCTATATACTTTTGTCACTGTGACGATTGTTGAATTGTACTGAAATTAGTCCACCAATGAAAACTTAGATCGGTTCATGATTATATGATTGTGTTAATTAATGTAGGCTTATGTACTAAATTTTCAGCCTCTGCTCTACTACTCTACGCTGACGGATCAATAGTACACATATTGCAACTAACAATTTTCACTGCTAAAAACATATCATCATAATAAGTGATAGCAAATGATGAATACTTGCTTCAATGTCCAAGGTAATTTGATATGACGCATGTTAGTTCCTCAATGTTTTATAGTCAAGCCACATAATTTATTAACACTAAGACATGAATTTATTAGTACTTTCAGTAAGGCATATATAGTTACTCAGCTATGTAAACAACAAATATCTTTTTTTTTAACAACCCACATGATGTCAGCTAGTCATTATTATAAAACCTTACAAAATGTAATGTAGAATGTATCATAGTAAACTGGATTACTGAACTGTTTAGCAACATGAATTTAGAAAATAAAAGCAGAAATGGGGATCGCAAATTAAACTCTTGAATAACAATGTCGCTAGTCTTATTCCTACAATCAGATTCAAGATTCATTGTCCAATTCCATTTTCATCATATGAAAATATAAAAAAAGATGATTTTGATTATTCATTTAAATTAATGCATGCAATAGGCAACGGCTTTATAATAGACTAAAGTATTATTATTAGTCGAAATTTCTTTTGCCGCTTTATTAAACAAAAGCCATTTACCATAACAAAATGCTACAGGTACACACACAATAGTGCGAAACGATTCATCGAAATTTCTACAAAGCCATCTACTAAGCTTTACTGTTGAAACAATCGTCCAATTGTTTTAATGTGATGAGATGTATTGTTAAAACCGTTATAAAAATCGACAAATATCGAAATCACTAGAAATCTTATCTGTACTTTATAATATGACAGGGCAAGTATCAAGGTTCGTTGGAGAGTAAACAAGCCATAATTCTGACATGTTCCAATCATATTTATGCTTGCGTTCAAATGTTGTTTATAAGCAAGTCACTCTGTTAGAAAACGCCTTTTACACTGTGAATCTGTCTAGGCTTCGGATATTGGTTTAATTGACGGGCTGACGTCAATAATTCAGTGTCGCGAGAAATTTTCACATGATCAAATTGCATAGATGCATAATATAACACTAAGCAAACATCTTTTCACATTAGTGCACAAAATGTTAACTTACCACATTGACTAAGAATTTCGAAAATTATGAGCAGTGAAAATAGGCAAAAACACTCGTTTTGCTTTAAGGACATTAGAATTCAAACTATTATGATGAATGACAGAAACTAGAATATTCGCTTAAAATTAGACCTGTATATGAGTCTCTTCTCAAACATTAATATGGAATCTGGAATATATATATAAAATTCCCTATTCAAAGATATTAACTAGGTTTACATCATGATAAGCAAAGATGTTCACCTAATGAGATTTTAATTGGTTATTAAGCCACGATTTGATTGTAAAGTTAGTATTAGCTAAATGTGAGGAATTATTTCGGTTCAAAACACTTTTCGTCACGAATCGGCATCAACTGCAGTACATTGAGCGCCAAGGACCTCGTAAAAGAATGAAACCGAGACATTCAATTCTCAACGTCAGCACGAAGAAGAAACAAACGATTGACGTTACCGACTTGGATCAATTCGACATATAGTGTAATCGTCATTCATTGTAATTGATAGCTGATTAACTCGTGATTTCGAGAATAAATCTCGAAATTACTCAGTAGTTAACACCCAATTATGGAATCAACATGTTATTTGGTACTTTTCATTCAACACAAAAAAGCAAAATAAGAAACGTTAACTCACTCCACCGCCATAACGTCCCATTTGAACGGAACCAAAGCGTCGTAATTCTTGCGACTGATCACTATTTTGACTTTTACCCACAGTCATATCACGTGGATGTGTTCTGTTTAGTGTATGTATATTCATAGCTGAAATTAATGATTAGAACTAAAGTTTCTAACTGTAGAACATTAAAAAAAATATTGAACAACAAAACTATTTTATCCGAAATTGAAAGTAAAAAGAGAACATTAAAAATAGTGATAGAGTGAGAATAATAAAAAAATTACAGAAACAATTCAATCACAATTAACTGGTATTTTTGTGCAAGGAAGCAGAAAATAAAATAATGATTCGAATTTTGCTAATTTACGTCATATTGTTTAACCACTACTGATAATGTTTGTTGATATTCCTCCTAGAAATTACCTACCAAAAATTTGATTGATCTTGAATCAGTCGATGAATGATTCTATCATGCCCGATATTATTTTTCTTTATTCCAGTCAGTCATCCTATTTATTTTAAAAAAAGTTGAGATGGAGGTTAGATGATGAAGGTGTTCAAGTTTGAGCCTCTAATAAATATCAGACTTCTCGAATTCCCTTGCCTACGTCGCTGTAGGTACACAGGCAACAACACTACCCCTTACAGTTAAATACACGAAACTTTACCATGCAAACGAGTCTATAAAAACAATTTTATGGCATTATGACGTTGATTATTGACCGGACTTCGAGAAAGATCCAAGGTAAGAACACTAATTGAACAGGTAGTTACTCATGTTCTAACAAGCCAAGTTGAATGCGAATAAATCATAGTAATAAAAACATTAGTATATTTATAATTTTTATACAATATTCTTGAACATTCTCCAGCTATCCACCAGCGTTGATTGGCTAAGGATGTGCTAATCCGCATGCTGTCGCATAATTCTTGAATGGACATGCTTTAATACAATCCATATCCTGCTAACAAACCTTGATTGATTAACTCATATTTTTTAATACCAAAATGAAGATGAATGCTAAAGCATTTGAACTGGCGATTTTCCAGTTGTTTTATCGACACACAATACTAATTGCGTTGAAGTGAAATGACGACGTGACTACCAGCGGGGCTTCTTGGCTTAATCTGTAGGCTGAATTCTCTATCATATCCAATTATCAATCATTATTATGAATGTAAACAAGAACCAACCAATCAAGGCTTTATAGGTTACTGCTTCAATCTTTAGGAATGTTATACACAATGAATCTTAGAATAACAGTCAACTCTACATGGAACTAATTGGTTACTGCTGCATTGCATCAGATAGATGATTTTAGTATGATAAACATTTCTTCCTTTTTCATACATGACAAACACTATGCAGTTGGATCTCAGCAATCAGTTAGCAGGTTATAAATTAAAAAGACAGACAACAAATAAAAAAGTACACTGGCTTGGTACCGCTAAATGATAATATTTCATTTGCTGATGTGAAAAATATTTTTGAGACCATCGGCTTGTATTATCTATAACAATGAGTAAACAAGTGAGTAAGTTTACTCCTCCTTTATTGATTGATTTACTTTCGCGGAACAAAAGTGATTTGATACAGTGAAGCACCAAAACGAAATGAGACAGCAATCTTGTTAACAAATCAAAGGAAAATCATGATTGACTGATCAAGTATGACATGGGCATGCTTTCCAAATTCTACAACCTATTATTATTATTAAGGTAGTACAGTTTCTTTAATTCATAGTATTTCATTTCCTGCTGTTTAAATAAACAGCCATGATAATTTGATTGGTATACAGTAAAAAAAACACCCCCATATTACATTTCTTTAAAAAAAAACCAAAACATCTCTTGATAATCCCGCACATATTTTTAGAAGTCACTTCAAATCAGACTTGTTTGGTAAGGATGAATAATAACATTTGTCTTTTCAGCTATTATACAATGAGATATAATCAACAGTGCATAACAACAGATAAATAACAGACATAAACTTTGAAAAACCTCAATGATTCTGCCACAGGTCTTGCGTTACAAATCATATCATTAGTTAGCAACTTTGTGATAAGTTCCTCAACAGAAGTCAAAACGTATCGAAACTATAATAGCGATTCATCGTTAATAATAATTAAAGATGAGATTTTCGACTACCGGATTCTGGCTCACTGCCTCAAAGGTATCGTGGTCGCTATGAGAGCGCAAAGTTGTAGAACTTAGTACCAGATAAGGTTAATTAATGGTGGATCCACACCTTTGACTTTCAAATATGAACAAGAACAATGCCTAGCACTTCTAAATAATCAATCACTTTCTAGTTGATGTAAGTTATCACCAAATCTACAATAATATTGATTACAACCATCAGTGTAGCAACAAAATTATAACAAGAAAAGAATATCAGCTAGTTAAAGAGAGAGTATGAGAGATAAGTTATTTTTATAAGAAGTATACATCATGTAATGTGTACAACTTGTTTATGGTTGAACATTTGTGAACTGTTGTGGTATTACTAAAAACAAATCATGCTATTGAATTCGAAAGCAGACATAGTTTAGTCGTCCTTTTTAATCTTTGAGAATAAATCAACTATTGTCCCAGAAATCAGAAAGTTCTATAGCATTGAGTATGTACTACAACCCAAAATCCAATTTTAAGCGTTATGGAAAGTTAGAAGTTATTATTTTCACACGAATTAATGAGTAGTATGTTAATTTAAAGAATATATATTTGTATATATATTCACATAACTAAAAATACCTGGATTCATTCATCTTAATAAAAAACTTTTAAATGCGTTACGGTTAGTTATTTCGCTTTTGATTATTTCGTGACCATTTTACTCGGTAAATTATTTCAGAGCAACACCAGCTACTACCACTAATAATACTACTAGAGCTTGAATACAATTCAATCACCAAGTAAAAATTTGAGTACTTTTTTTCAGGCACTGACTATTGTTACGATGTATGGTTGAGTAAACCTGTAATTCATAGGTTGGAATTTTAGCGTTTTAGCCAATATACCACTGTACCACAATAAACTGAATAAGCTGCAGTTAACACAGTGATATATGGTGATCATATATATATATATATATATATATATATATATATATATATATATATTAGTTATTGGCTTATTGAAAAGAGATACAAACAATATCATTGACATTAGTTAACGTAGGATGAAAAGACAAACTCATTCTATTGTTTAACAAATCAATATTGCACCTTAAAATAATAATCTTAAAGTACAAGCACCAGAAATTTTCAAGACTTAACTAATTTGCATCTTAACTTTTAATTAACCGGCTATAACTATCGATTAAAGTGAGTTTTCTCTTTCAGAGGATCAATGAGTAATAAAGTTAACTAAAGTAGATTAAAATAGAACTGAAATATGGAATCTATTTATGAGGTTATCATTTATTGTGAACATTTGCCTTTCTCCAATTAATGCCTACTATTTTGCCTTGATTGTTTTAAAATGGTTTTTCGTTAGTCTCTGATTAGTAATTGTTTATAGTTCTGTCCTACTGCACTGAAAACTCGTATGAAAAATTTCTACGTAGATATCTATCAGTCTGTAACTAGAAGAAAGTATCAGAAAAATACTCAGTGTTCACAAGTAGGAAAGCATAAATCCCAAACCATTTTTTGTTTGAATATTCCCATTGATGTTTAGAAATGCAACTGATCAGTCTATTTTGGTAAGTATGTATTCAGAGTGGATCACCTCGGTACGATCAATAAGTCACAAGTATTTAAAGCAGAGTTGGATGTGAGCTGAAAGCGAAACCCAGAATATATGCCGAAAGAGAGTAATTTTGGTCCTGAACATCATCAGTGGGGAAATTCAAACAACCCATACCAATAAATTAAAATTCACCCCATTACACAAATCAGTGGCTACCTATGGTCGGTAAATTGGGGGATAATGTATCGGTGTTTTAAGTGATAAGCAATCGGTTGGATCTTCGACGTAAGTATTAGCACTAAAACGGAGGTACGTTCAAAAGGAGTATTCAAGAAAAGATGAAAAGCGCATCCGGTATTCTGCTGATGGACACAGGAGACAAATACTGAAAATAAAAATCATTCCTTGGAGTATTTAATACCAGTTAATTTTCGACATCATTCTTATCATTTATTGTTTGTTAAAAAAAAGTAGCTTTGTAATTTAAATTATCTAAGTCTTTACAATGATTGAACCAGGAAAAACTTTATTCTACTCACCTGCATTTAAACCAGTAGGCATGCTTGCTGTACGTCGCTTCAACATTGAACGATTGAATCGTGGATGTGGCCTATCAATATTCGTTGTACGATATTGGAAAAATGTTCGTCCAGTGTAACGAAACTGTGATTTATTTAAACTGGGTGTTGACAAAGGTCGTTTAGGTGCTGGTGTTTCTTTCAGTCGAAAAAATGCATGATGTTCTACAGCAGCTTTCCACAACCGATTAGCTAAATGTGGATTTAACAAACGAAAGCCTACTATAGCTTCTACAGGTTCTGACTAAAATTGAAGAAAAAAGGTACAGTTATTAAATAGGCAGATATGTGTCAATATTGTAAACAGAATTATCTACATCTGCGCCAGCATAAAGATTGTGTGAACAAAACTGACATGAATGTAAGTTAATAAATACATCAGAAATGAAACTAAAATCTATCCAATATTGATTCAAAAAGGAAATTTATATGAGTTTAAAGGAAAAACGACTAACAATGTAAGGATTAAATGTTTACTTAGATAGTCAAATTGAGTAAACCATTTCAATATAAAATGATAGTTTCACTCTATTGATCAGTAAACAGTTGGTAACACTCCAACCTAGCAAAACTTAGAAATATTTAGCAGAAAGCAAATTCCATTTTGAAATATTTTGAACACTAGTCAAATCGCAATAATAAGTCGCATCATTTACTTTGGCTTGATACAAAATAGTCATGCGGAGTTACAGATTAGGGAGGAATCACCACTGTCAGCTACGCACTAGTTTATCTTTTAACCAATAAATACAATAAATCAGTCTATCCAACTTATGATGACTTTGGATACAAAGGATATTATCGAAGAAAAAATAGGCACTAGTTTTTCAAATGAAAAGTATATACTAAATAGAATAAGCGAAACATCTCAACTTAATACAATCATTAACAGAAAACTGTGATAGAAAGAAGACCATAGTGCTTTTGAAACAGCCAGGTATTTTTGAGAGAGAGAGAGAGAGATTCGGACACACCAGTATTCTCATCTTTCAATTTGATTAATATGCAACTTATGTCATCCAACCCTATCTATCGATTATGAAACATGTTTCATTTACACATGAACACGGACACATTTACACACAAGCAAACACTTGTAACAAAGAAGATTAACATGATATTGGAAAAACCGAAATTATTCTAAACTATTCATACAAGACGGTCACACAGTTGTGTTTACTTATTAGATGAACTGCATAAAAGATACCAAGACAATGGTGAAAAAAAGCTTGTTACGCACTATTTACCAACTAGAAAAGTGAAAATATGTGCGTGTACGGATAAGAGAACAAGTTTAATTAATTTTCGTTGCTCTTTCTCCTACACACACACACACACACACACGCAGACAAATCTCTGTGCATGATTTATTCATAAAATAGTTCGTATAAACCCAGTCAAAATAAATCAATTCAATGTGTAGTGAATTGCAGCTTAGCGTAAACTTTGAGTTTATCAATTGACACTGCATTGAGTAATTTCGATTGTGATAGTTGGTTAGTTAGCAGGAAACAGAGAAAAAACAAATGCAAAGAATGAAATTGTTGCAAACGACTGGCGTAATTTGCATGTAACATTGATAAAAGAGAGATATGATTGATTAGTTTAGAGAATGGTTAACTGTTACATTAGCATTAAGCTGTACTAATAGAATGTCTGAGAACAAAGATTTCACTTACATTTCAACTTTGTAGTATTGAATTTTTATAAACGTGTACGAGTGCATCATACAGTTAATATTACCTATTTAATTAACAAAAATACATCTAGAACAGGGAAAAGTATTATAATTTTTGCAGTTGAAGCAATGAATAGACCAGTTGGCTTTGAGTAAGCCGTTAACAATCTATCCGGTTATTAGTAGTTCGGTTAATAATCCAGTAATGATAATTCGGATAGCCAGCAGTTGATTAATAGTCAGTCAGTCAGTCAGTTGCAACGTAGAACTTCGTACGTAAGTACATCAGTTCATGTCGCCATACCACATCAGCACAGAGTAGTCATTGTCAATTCAAATCCAATAGTAGAAGAGGTAGTAAAGGTATTAGGAGTAATCGGAGAGGTTAGGATTAGAAGATATTATTCAAGAAGTATGATTCAATGAGATAAGTTTAGAAAGTAAAAACTAGAGGTGTTGAAGAATCCAGAAGATTAGGATTTGAGAGAACACAAAGAATAAATGCACCGGCACCATTGCGAACGATTTTGAGCCATGTCATTCAAGGTCTCTAACCATCGATTATTATCATCTCGCGGACCCCAACCAGGTAGTCGACAATTACCGACATGGCTCAGTCCACTCGTCAATGACTTCATGGATTTATGCCATGTTTTGGTCTGGCCGCCCCTAGCTTTCTTCCAACCTATTCCTACACTACAAAACAAAGCTCATCGAGGCAGTCGGTGGTTGGGCATACGCAACACATCTCCCAACCACCTCAACTGATGAAGTTTCACCACTTCATCGATTGATCTGCCATTCTTAACTAGTACCCGATTCCTAATAACAGCGTTGCTCACTCGGTTGTCCCACGATATACGAGCAATGCTTCGACGACACCTATGATCGAAAACCAATAACCGACGAGTATCTTCTAGTTGATTAATAGGGAAGTTAAAGTGTCAGAATTTTTTTTTACAAATAAAGATTCAGTCAGCGTTTTGGAAACAATACTTGTTTCAAACATAGTGATCATTATCAAGTTCATACAAAGCTGAAGTCCACTAAAACTTTAATAACTTGTAATCATATTGCAAGTAAGTAGTTCAACAGAATATAACTAAAGGATTCAACAACGCCAGTGTATATTATTGTTGTTAGACGGATTCCCTGTAATGAGTTAATAAGTTATTTGAGAAATTGTATGACCGTTTGAAGTCAAGAAGCTGAGTAATTGTTTCTCACTATAGGATTCCTCAACAGCGCACAACTACAATCTGAACGCCATATAACACAGAATCTTTATGGCTTCTCAGAACGACAGTACTTTTTAGACCGATATATCAAAATCTAATAGTTCACGTTTTCAATTTCAGCTGTTATAGCATGAGGATACAGTGTGAGGTCGTAACTGAGCCCTGCCAACAGGTCTCATTTTAAAACAAAATAATTGTTTAACACTCTACTCTCTCATTTGGAGTAAGTTCTTAATGGAGACCATCTTCACAGTTAGTAAATCTGTATAAAAACATTTATTTAAATTATTATTATTATTATTATTATTACCGATCTATGAAACATCTAAACATTGAATAATTTATAAAATAACTCAGGATGATTTATCATGATATTTAAGCGTTTAATCTTATTGTTATAATATGTTAGTGGGCCAAAAGGGAACTGGGTGGAAAACAAGTCAGGAAAATTTATATTTGATAAAATAGGACAATAATGCTAAACGTGGAGTTTTTACGTAAATACGTTACAATGGTTACACGTAAAATGGCAAAAAAATTGTTAGGTTGAGTTGAGGAAAACATTTTGGTCAACAAAACAAAATTCATGGTGTGCATACACGAACACATCATACAAATAATAAAAATGAACCATAAAATTACTAATAACTACACTTATGAAATAGTTCTGTAATAAATAGTTGCGAACTAACTGAGCAGTTTGTCCTGTGATAATATAAAAGGCACCAGATGTGCAAATTTTAGTAAGAGTCAATGAGAAATATGATTACAATTGGAAAATACAGAACCCCATAATCGAATATGTTTCATGAGCTGTAATAATTGTTTTTACATTTATTTTTTCTCACATATTTCCAAAACTATAAGCAACCGAAAAATAAGGTTACGCAAAATATCACTGAAGCGTTTAGATCAAGTTACTTTGGTTTAGTTATAAGTGCATTGAAGAAACGTCTAAGAATGTGATTAACGACCCTAATATGCATCCATTACATAAAATGACTTTGTATAGAAAAATGATACTGTGACTTGCTAAAATTAAAAATGTTACTAACCAATAAAGTTAAAAGTTTTCTAAAAAAACTTAGGTAGCCAAATTCTTTGTAGAGAAAAGAAATTATGAATAACTCGTACGGCGTTTGAAGGAAAAGCTACTGGGTAAGAGTTCCAATGTGAAAATCAAGAATGGGAAGCAAATACATCCAACTGACAAGTCTTAAAGAGAACAAAACACATCCAGGATTGAACTACTTAACATAACGCATTTATTTAACAAAAGTCGCAACAATACGACTATATTGAAGCCATTCTCACAGAATGCACACATCCAGACTAAAAATGATTATGATTCAGTCTAAATCATAAATGTTAGGATCCCTTATAAACTAAATTAAATAGTTCTGATACCGACAGTTATGATTATTATTTATATGATGTACATTTTATTCTATGTGCACAAAATGTAAAAGAGTTAGCGCATTTCATATTTTTTCTTACGTAACAATGAGCATCTAAAGTAAACCAATTAACTTACATAATCAGGTCTGATTTTCAAATAGAAATTATTTTTCTTATATGATATACGCAGAACTTTAGGCCATGCAAATCGACCGATACGCAGTCGGTCACGATAAATAACTACACCATGAAAACCAACACCAATATAAATATCGACGTTTTCTGTATCTTTGGCCGGGTGTAAATCGACACCGTATAATTCCAATCGTTTGGCAGTTTCTAAGTATTTAACATCAGCTTCGTTTGGTTTCATACCACTGAAATAAAACAGAATATATCATTAAAAAAGTTCGTATATATATACATATATATATATATATATATATATATATATATATATATATATGCGCATTCAAGTGAATAAATCTGAAAATCTAGTAGTAACAGTCACTCAATCAGTCAGTTACAACGTAGAACTTGGTTCGTACGTTTAACAGTTCAAGTCCCCATACCACATTGGCACAGAGATATGGAATTTCAGTTCAAATCCCACAATAGTACAGGTAGTAGGAGTATTAGTCGTAGTGGAGAAATTTAAGGTTCTAAGATGTGATGCAAGAAGTATAATCCAGTGTAATAAATTTAAAGGCTGTAACAGCCTTGTTCACAAACATGAAGAGAATCATGTATTTATGAATGATTATTAATCACTTAACACTAGTAGACAAAAAATTACAATGAGTGTTAAACAGCATTAGAAACAACAGGTTACTGAAGTGCTATTAATTGACTATCCGAGGCCCCTTATCACTCAATACGTTTCACTGCATACAGAATGAAACTTCAGATGTTGTGATAAATATGCTGATTACTTGATAATGATTACCATTAGTCGGATAAATTATTTATCAAGCGCTTACAGCCATATCTTTGGTGCATGACACTTACTAATACAACCCGATGGAGCTGAGTCGGAGAAGAGCATATCCAACGGTTAAAACATAAATGTTTTAATCATTTATTCAGCTAGCAGAACATTTTACAACCCATAAAGCACGAAAAAGTTATCATTATCAATGAAAAAACATTAAATACAATTCAGGCTGTAGAATTCAATATGTAGTGAAATAGTTGAAGTAGACAATCTATCAATACTAACTTAATAATCGTATAAATATTGGAATGCGGGTTATTTAATTAAAATGACAATATAGAAGAAACATGATGGTTTACATTAAGCTTAACTCAACAAAATATTTTAGTAAATGTTAACGAAAATAATAAACTGAATGATATGAGAAACAATAATTATAAAAGATTAAACGACTTTTATCATAACCTTACGTTTATACTTTACTATAGCAGAAATATTAACTAAATACTATGCTAATAAATTATCTTCAAAAGAAATGTTTATAAACTTGAAATATAAAGTAAATGTTAATACAGATAACTAGAATCCATTAAACAGTAAATGACAATTGAGACTGGTGTTTTGGGGGGAAATTTAAAAGCCTTCAATCAGTCACCACCAACGCAGAATCCGGTACAAATGTGTATCGGCCGTGGTTTCTACATAAAATCTTCAAGTATAAATACCACTTATTAAAATTGAGAGATAAAATATTTATGTCTGATGAAAGCTATGAATGAAAACTGTTAGCCTTGTGATGCAATGGTAAAGAAATCAATTAAGTGAAAGCAAATATCGACGCTTGAGCTTGAGATTTCCCATTAAAATAATTGTTATTTTAGTACTTGACCTAGCGATGAAATATCTTTGACCATCAAATTTTGACGTTCAATTGGGCAATTTTAGCAGTTTAAATCAAAACGTGGCCGTTTAGATTTCGGAATAGAAAATGCCTTGCAAACTTACTGATAATCATAAATTTTCGAAACCTTACAATTTCATCGAGTCATAACCAAGATGAACGGTTTGAAAGGCCGGCAGAAGATTCTATACAATGCTAAGCTTGTTCTATTAGGACCATATAACGATAAATAATCACATATACCAGTCATGCACTACAAGATGTACATATGCAGGCTGCCACTTGATATAGAAAACAGCTGAACTAATCATTTGAAATAAAGTGAAATCGCAGTAACATACATACTCTTTATATATCCTTGGTTACTATTCACATAGATAAAAACTTAAGCTCAAGCAAATTAAGGAGAACCAGTATTATTTATTGAGTTAATGTAGTTTAATGGCAAAAACTCAACTAACACACACTCTGGGAAAAGAATGATAATCTGATAAGAGCTCAAGAACAGCGACGATTAGGTTAAATTGTCTGACGTTTCGGGTAACAGTTCAGTAATATCATAGTCATTACTTAGTGACTGAGTAATTAGGATCATGATAATTTGTAATGAAATTACATATTTCTCAAATCAACAAAACTACTCACGTATGGGTTTTATGCAATTCCACAATTTTTTTCATTAGTTGAGGAGTAGGTGACGGGACAAATTCGAATTCATTCAAATAATCTGACCCAGTATGGTTATCTGGATCAAAATCGCCTAATTCTGCTTGTACCATAAACGAACCCAATAATGCTTGTGTAACCCACGAGCAAGGAAGTTTCCCAGTGTAAATATCTTGCCGAATTTGCAAAGTAAGTTGATAACGTGTCAACTCTTCTTGTAGCATGGATGGTTCAGGAGGGTAGAATTTAACTTGAAAATAAAATAACCCTTGCTCATTATCTAGAAAAAAAAATGTCGTTAAAAAAATATTAAGATGCATACATGTAAATATGAAATTAAAAAATCGAATACAGTATCAAATGAATTAATTAGGTGAGCTACACAGTAAAAGTTAAGACATTTGCTTGTTGAATGTAAGTTACACGATCGTTTAAACGGTAACTAATCAATCCATATCAAGGATATTACCATACCAGTAGATGTATTACAATTGTACAACAGAAAATCAGCATTTAAATATTTCCATACTACTTCCAATGAGATCCTAATAAACTCAATCGAAAAGCAAGTAAAATGGTTATATTTCATTGATATAAAACCTATCAGTTGGTGTGAGCCATTTGAACGCTTTCCATAAATCAGTAAAGAAAGAGAACTTGGCGAATGGAAGTTGCATTTTTCAAATGAACTAATTACAGAAGACAGTTTATAACCAAGTCAATAATGAAATCTCCAAGCAGTAATTGATAGCTTGCCACCACCACTAGTCAGAATATATTTCTAACAGCTCATTTATTTACGTTACCATAAACGATACTGTATACTCTGAATATATAATTGACGTGTAGTCCAGGATGTCATCAGGTAGTGATATTTTTAGAAAATGACCAAAAGGAAAAATTTAGATATTTCTTGAGCGATTCAAGACCATACTCGAGACATTATTCAAAACTTATTTTTAGTTGAATATTTCGGGTTTAGAATAACTGGGTATTACATAATTAACCGAAATAAAATCGTGTGAAACCTAAAGCTGTGATGTACAGCTACATATGAAGTGTAAAACTTAACCAAAAAATCTCAATGATAGTATTTACCATAGAAGTAAAACCGGATGTCAACTTATAAAGACGATTTAAAGCTCTCTAGAATAACCCTAGCTTGCATCATGCAAATAAAAAGTGATTAATAGATAAAAGATTACTAAAATACAATTTACCTCGTAGTTGCTTTCCAATCTTGGTCTGTAGGTCCAGCCAAAACTGAAAAACGAAAGATATGCCACTGATTATTCATATCTCAAAGCAGTTAAACAAAAAGATGGTTAACTTAATTTTATTTATCTAGTTTGAGATGATACTGCTTATCAATCGCCTAACAGATAAACCAGACTCATAATGAAAATAGACTATGAATGATAGTGCCTATACAAATCGATTCAATACCGACGCAAACTTAATGACACTCAACGAATCATAAATTGCAAACTGATGAGCTTTCTACAACAAACAAGATAATGACCTGAAGAATTATGAAACAGAAGTTGCAAGCATCTAACGATAGTGCTGCCAATGCCGAACACAACATGAGAGTAGTTCCCCAACGGTAAATCAAGGAATATAAATTGACACTATAAAAATTTACCAAACGAAATATCTTACTAAAGATAATTTCGAGACTCCGAAAATTGGTTAATCTTATTCGCTATGAACGACTAAGGCCAGCGTGTTTAAAAATTCTACAAATGATTATTTGTTAATAACATGAAACCGAAAGTGAGAATTTGAAATACAACTATTACAAGGGAACTTACCCATGTACGTATTTTGTTACTAATAAACGTCAGTCCAAAGTAGTCAGCTTCATAAAGATCTAAGTTCTGACAAACCTGATCAAAGAGAACTTGACCAATGTCATCACGACTCAACTGGAAAGTAAGCTCTTCACCATCAAGCATAATAACACGAACTGATGTGGAATGATCAGATGGCTTGATAATCTGTGATACATGAGCTTTCGGCTTGCGTCGCCTAAAAGAGGCGAATAACTTTGCTAGTACATTCTTCGTCGGTGAAACTCCAGGTAGATTTTGCTGAGGTATGGGTTGGTGTTGACCATGTTCAAAGTCAGGATTCCAAAATCCCCGTCCACTTCCAACAAACGCACTGGAATGTCGACCATCTGGTATGTTTTGTTCGTAACTCGAGTAGGATTCAGAGGGTAGGTTGGTGTGCAGACCCACTAATGATTCCCGATGTTCTTCAGGACGGTCACTAGAAATTGGAATACTGCTTGAAAGAGGAGAAGGTGGTACCGAACAATCATAACGAGTAGAACCAAACATCCCACTTTTCTCATCGCCATGATAGGGTACTTGGTTTTGAGAAACTCTAGAACTTGCGCGACTTCTGTATTGATTTTCATCGTCACTAGGATAATTATTGATACTTTGTTGGTAGTAATCGACGGAATACTTGTGTCCGGTATTAGCTGTAGTTGACATATTGTCATGTCTCTGCGACTTTTTAGATCTAATACGTTCCGGTTTTTCGTTTGGGTACGTCTTTTCCATACTACCTTTATAAACACCTCGATTTGAGGAGTAATGTCTTCTGGAAGCACTTAAGTCGGCATGAGCCTCAAAAGGCTCTGGGTTACGATAATCATTATCTTGATAATCACTTTCACGTCTGTTGTCCGAATAGTAGCTGGGGGGGCGACTAGTAGTCTGACCGGTAACTTCATAATCTCGATTCTTCTTCTTTCGACGAGCCCTTGACCCATGATCCCTTTTATGTTCTTGTATATCTTCCATCACGATATTTTCATTAAGAACGTACTAATTTGAAAACAGTCTATCATAAAAAAAATAACTTCATTAAGATTCTTAAACTCCTAAGATTAACAAGTGTATAACTCAACGCAATTTGAGGACATGGGGACCATGATATTAGTCGAGATATGTTAGGTGTGAAGAGTCATAGAAAATTCTGGATATGCTTCAACTAGTTGAAAAAGATTTTATAACAGTGAATCATCATCATCATCAACAGCAACATAGAACTTTTCACTCAAGTACAGCAGTTCAATTTGCCATGCACAGAGATATAATTGTCAATTAAAATCCAAATCATATCGAAAAGTATATCTACCAATCAAAATTCAGTCGACGACTCCTTAGCACTATAGTCAGGGGTACCGACTGCAATGACGTACCAAATTTAACTAGCTAGTACTAAATCTTCTACCCAGTTCAACTAATACGGAATACAGCCTTTGACACTAGAAAGAGTAAAACTGCCCCGATAGAATGTAAATCAAAGGCCGGACGAAAAGGGAAATAATCGTGCACTAACATTAGGGAGGGAGGAACTGCCTTAGAATGAATAATGAGGCAGTCATTCATTCCACCAAGCATGCTAACCGCAAAGTTTGGGCAGTAAAATCACCTGTAACATTGTTTAAACTAGCCCAGTGGTCCTTAAAGCATGTAATAATGAAAAATCCCTTCATACCTATGACCATTGAATTTCGACTACACGTCACTGTGTAATTAAAGTCACTTTTCAAACCTAGACTAAATCGAAATAAAATCCACCAGCAGTCATCTAATCTCAAATAAATATCGAGTTAGCAATGGTTTCTATGTTTTAGGAAGCCTAAAACCACTAAGTGATGAAAAGACGCCAGAACATAATGAGAAAAAAACTAGAACTGAATCTCTACTAAAATAATGAGCATGACATATCGGTAGACAAAATGACATGAGTGTCAATTTATCATAAACTCCCGTGTATAAAACGTAGCACATCCATGTTATAAAACTGAGGTGCCAACGATATATTTTGCAAAAACCTTACCCACAGAACGGTTTAAAATTAGTTTTCTATCACGAATGAATTACCATACTTATACGACTACAAACATGAGAAACTATATCACCAGTTACCCACCGAAAATGATAAGCCCTCTATGATCTTTAACCTAGGCATCAGTGCGTTCTAACAACAACAATAACTATCAAATATGCATTACAATCTATTTTTGACAGAGGTCCCTAATTTATCCTCTTCAACTTTATTTTTGACTTCGTTTTGCGGTGAAAAACACTGTATCATTCAGCTTACAAAATAATATCGAATACCAATAAAACAATATTCTTCCTGAATTGTGATTACATATTGTTGGTAATATGTCTAAATAGTTAAGAGAACCAAAAATAAAAGATGAGCAGTTTTCTTTTGTACCTCTAGTGAATTATATAATCGTGACGTAAGGGAACTATGTGCTTGTACATGATCTCAGAAGTCAGTAAGTCAGTCAGATGCAACTTAAAACTTCGTGCGTAAGTACATCAGTTCATGTCGCCATACCACATCAGCACAGAGTAGTCATTGTCAATTCAAATCCAATAGTAGAAGAGGTAGTAAAGGTATTAGGAGTAATCGGAGAGGTTAGGATTAGAAGATATTATTCAAAAAGTATGATTCAGTGAGAAAAGTTTAGAAAGTCAAAACTAGAGGTATGGAAGAATCCAGAAGATTAGGATTTGAGAGAACACAAAGAATAAATGCACCGGCACCATTGCGAACGATTTTGAGCCATGTCATTCAAGGTCTCTAACCATCGATTATTATCATCTCGCGGACCCCAACCAGGTAGTCGACAATTATCGACATGGCTAAGTCCACTCGTCAATGACTTCATGGATTTATGCCATGTTTTGGTCTGGCCGCCCCTAGCTTTCTTCCAACCTATTCCTACACTACAAAACAAAGCTCATCGAGGCAGTCGGTGGTTGGGCATACGCAACACATGTCCCAACCACCTCAACTGATGAAGTGTAACTACTGCGTCTGTTGATCTGCCATTCATACCTAACACCCGATTCCTAATAACAGCGTTGCTCACTCGGCTATCCCACGATATACGAGCAATGCTTCGAAGACACCTATGATCGAAAACCAGTAACCTACGAATATCTTCTACTCTCACTGGCCATGTTTCACAGCCATAAAGTAAGACGGGGCGAACCACTGCACAGTACACTCGTCCTTTAGTCAGCAAACGGATATCTCGCCTTCGCCATAAGTGACGCAGGTTGGCAAAAGCTGATCAAGCCTTCTGTATCCGAGCTGAGATTTCGTCAGTCACCAGTCCATCGGCACTGATGAGACTCCCAAGATAAGTGAAGCGGTCTACACACTTGACTACTTCACTCCCTATCACTAGTTCAGGTACTGATGCAACCCAATCTTGAAGCGACATTTTGAATCTCGAGGGGGAAAACTGCATCCCGGACATGCTTGCATTGTTGCTTAGGGCAGTCAGAAGACTCTGCATTTTGTCAGCATCTTCACCAAGTAGGACTATGTCATCGGCATATTCTCAGTCAATAAGCGAGCCACGTGGTAGAAGGTCTACTCCTGAAAATTCAGACGAGGATAAGGTTATTACTTGGAGAATGTCTATGATAAAATTAAACAAGAATGGAGAAAGTGGACATCCCTGATGGACACCACGTGAAGTGAGGAATTCCGGTGACAGTTCGCCATAACCTCTCACTCGACCAGTGGTGTTCGAGTCGAGAGCTTGTATGAGGTTAATCTACTTCTCTGGTACACCTTTCAATGACAGACACTGACACAGAACCTCATGATCTACAGAGTCAAATGCCGCTTTTAGGTCCAGGAAAACAACTGTTGTAGGACGCCTAAATGTGTGTCTGTGTTCCAGGACCTGTCGTAGTGTGAAGATGTGATCTATGCAACCACGTCCAGGTCGAAAACCAGATTGGTTTTCCCTAGTCTGCTCTTCACGAGCTTTCGTTAGGCGCCGAATTATTATTGAGGCCAAAATTTTAGATACTATATTAGTTAGACTGATTCCCCTGTGATTGTCACAAGAAGACTTCTGTCCTTTCTTATAGATTGGTACAATCCGTGATTGAGACCAGTCCGATGGGATTACGTCCAGTTCCCAGATTCTACCTAAGATCTCAGTCAACCTAGCTGCTAAAACTGGAACACCATCCTTAAATATCTCAGGCGTCAGTCTATCAGGACCTGCAGCTCGTCCTCGTTTCAGATTTCCTAACGCTTTCTCAACTTCATTAAGACTAGGGGGACTTACGTCGATTTGCCATTCAGGATGACTGAAGATCGTGGGTAACTGAAGAGTGGCTCGAGGCCAGTTGAACTGATCCCTAAAGTGTTCTGCCCATCGATCCAGTCTCCTGGATTGAGAATAAATAATAGTCCCACTAGGATTCCTAATACCAGTTTCCTTGATGAGTCTAAATAGTTGTCTACTGTTGCCGATCGCCGCTGCCTTTTCCATCGCTTTTGCTTTCGCCACCCACCACTGTTCACGGTCGTTGCGCAGGCTTTTTATCAGCCTGCGCTTAAGCTGACTTCTCACTTCTTCATGGTCAGAGCCAGGTGGGATGAGCTTTCGGGCATCCATCAGATCGGTGGATGCCACTGAGATCCACGGCTTCATTCTAGCCTTATGGTCAACCTTACTAGCAGATATCACTGCTGTTTCCACAGACTTCTTGATATCATTCCATCCTGCTTCCGGATGGGAATCGCTTAAATGGTCGCGTAACTGTCTTTCTAGTTGTTCCTGAAATATATTTTTGACCCTATTATCATTGAGTAAAACCTTAAGAGGCTTTCCTACGTCCAGCAAGCCTCAAACAAATACGTGCTCGCACTAGAGCATGATCTGAATCTAAACATATGCCACGGAATGAGCGGCAGTCCTCTGTCGCGATATGATATGGCGATATGATTTAATTGCGTCCAACGTTGAGACGACTTCGGGGGTCGCCAGATCAAAAGATGCTTTTCCTTATGCCTAAAGTTAGTGTTTGCTAGAAATAGGCGGTTGTCTGAACTTACTTGAGACAGACGGTCATCATTGTCTGTTCTCACAGACGCGACACCATACCATCCACCTAGGTGTATTTCATTTTCACTTAGTCTACCTACTTGAGCATTAAAGTCACCAGCCATTATTACTATATCAGAGCGCCTGGCTTTTTGGAGGAGGTCCGAAAGCTTTCTGTAGAACTCATCTTTAACCTCGTCTGAACTGCAGTCAGTGGAGGCATAGGCATATATGGGAGCGTGATCTCAGAGTCCAAGGGACAACTGCTTGAGGCCGGTCACGCACGGCCTTTTTATGAAAGGTTTTTTGAGTAGTAGCTCCGCTCTTAAAGGCCCTTAGTGGGCATTCTTACGGACGGAGACGGAAATCCGTGAGGTAGGGTGAGGTGTGACGTTTTCAGGGCCGACCTTTTCTAACCCTTCCTTCCTTGTGAGAAGGCAGCATCGCTGCAGATGCTGGTTGTCCGAGGGAAACATCTTACTGCTGTCACACCCCTCTGCAGTCAGCAGTACGACTTCGCCCTCAGACCTTGAGTAGCTGCTTTTAGTCTCATCGTTCTCCAATCGACCAGCCTGGCATAGCAGGACCTGCAGTACAGCTCGGTTGAGTCATCACGATAGGCAAGCCCGACCACCACGTCGAGGTAGCAGCTACGTTCGGGATCCAAGAAGTGAATGATAAATAATATCTTCCTTAGGATCCTAGTGAACTTGTTTAGCTAGTTTGAATCAGTTTGTTCAGTAGACACTATGGCAATCCCTAAGAAATAGTTCTGCAAGTTTTCAACATTAGTTGTGCTGAATACATCCTGACTAAAGTTCGCCGGTCACGCATCCACACCAGATCACTACTGGCTACGCCCAGCAGCTCATCTGTTTTCCCCCCCTTGTCAAACCAAGTTACACACTCCATACAGACGAAAGTTTTTGAAAAATATATCTTCAACCTCATTAGTTCCTGACTTCCGATTTGACAGATTTTTCGACTGTTGATAATAAAGTGTTAACACCCCTGACATCTAGACTTGTTCATCGGACTTAGAAAAGGCGCAGCACTAGGAAGTTTGGAAAGGTGGATTTTCATGCCATTTTAAAGAATAACAAATTTGTAGGTTCTCCATTATCTGGTTTTAGAAATGTTGAAAACATCTTTCGTTGGGTAAGTTACTCGTTAACTTGGTTTTGTGTTTTTTTCCCTTAACCCTCCCACAGTTATAAGAAGGCAAATGTAGGGCAAACCATTTTTCAGTGGGAAACCTACTGACAGTTAAATATAAATCACCTCGCCTAAAGACTTCCCGCATTAATCGATATACGTTGACAAATTGGCTCAGTAAATCAAACTTACAACATGACTGCGTTAAAAGTTCGCAAGCAACCTGTTCGTAGCACCTATGAAAAGTCTTCGGGTCCCAACCAGGTCATCCGACTGGCCAGTCTGTGAATAGCTTGCGGCTTTCCGAACCTCGTCAAGGTGAAGGACAACCAACGTTCATCAATAAATCTCATATCATGGACAGGCGAAAGTGGCAGTGATTCCCACTCGTACCTCTCTCATTTGTATGATCCAGCGCATACTGTTACCACTAGTGAGTGTTTATTCTAGCAAGTCAAGTGACTATAATAGTAGTTTCAGCATTAACCGTGAGGCATGATCTCGATGTATGCCAGAAGTCCCCAATATCCTCATCAAAATTTCTCAGGCGTGCAGCGCCAGACCCATCACCTACGTTGGTGATCTACAGGTTTACCTGAAGTCAGTGGTAGAGGTGTCGCTTGATGAGCCACATGTGAAATACGTGACATGACTATTTCCTTTGGGTTTACTGTGGGAATGGCATATTGGAAACGAAAGTGCACAATTTTGAAGCACTGGCAAATAGTCTATATCAATTTTGAATTATATGTTTCCACAAAAGTTTATACAAACCATGGCTTTTCTCCAACAACGGCTTTAGTAGAAAAACGCTGGAAACGATGGCCATATTTAAGGTTTACAAGACAAATTTATGAGTGATATCAAAGTAGATTGTCCAGTAATAATAGATTTCTGCTAGACGTTTTTGATAATTTAGCCTTCCTTAATTTAGGCTATTTCATACTGAACGGATGATGGATTATTTTCAGTGGAAAATATATATCTAATCACAACATTGCTGTGTCATCCAAACACCATTAATCATTCAGGTGTTAAATATAAATGATAGCATATTCCAAAAATTCATTTCCACCGTCCTCCATGACTTAACGGTCATTTAATCTTTCAGTTAGTCATGAATGGCCCTGACCGTTTTCGTGAAGCTTATTGATTAGCGAATGGTCTGAATAATAAAACAAATACCACCACACAGGTATTAAACCGATGGATTTACCATGAGAAATTGGATTACATTTGTTAATAGAACTTAAGAAATGAATACGACTGTCACATGCTGCAGAGAATCGACAGGGTTTAAAAGTAAATCATACTCGTTTGATGAATGTCGTTGTTGACAGAACAACAAGATTTTCTGGTACGGAAAACTATACACTAAACGATATAACATGTTTGATTATCAGCACGCTTCTGATAGGATTTTTAATCCTTAAAAAGTGAATAAAAAAATTGATTTGGAGCATATTGTGGGTGGAAAACATGAGTGAATGGTGTGCCAGGGTGAGCAAGTCCGGAGAAACACCGAATAGAGCTCAATCATTGTGAGAGAAATTGCATTAGGATTTATCCCAGTTAAAAACCCTGATAATTCATTCTTATCCAACCACGGGAAAATTAATTCGATATCCATGTGGAACCCAACATAATGGCGACAGGAGATGCATTGTGAACATTATTACCCAAAACAATAATGTCAAGATTGATTACCCTGATCATGTACACCGTGAAATACATGTCGCTAGGTTTAAGAAATTCAAGGTAAGTTCACAGACTGAATGGTTTTTATGAGACTCCAACATTAATATTGACTTTCTCAGTTTTGTTGAACAAGCTGCTTATCTGAAGCCACACCGCCATGAGACCGTGTCAGATCAGGTTTTTTTGCCCTATAAAGTAACTACTAGTCAACTAAGATTATGTGCTTCTCACGCCAATCATCTATTTTTGCTATCGACACCTTTCATTCCTGACTTTTGGTTGGGCTTGATTTAAGATGACCAGTTAAGTTCCTGAACACGAAAAATTACCTAAAGGCCGGATCGAAGTACTGTTCATATTCTCTTGGGTCGCCTCGAACATGACAGGTCAGGTAACTTCTCTAAATAGGGCTTTCCAAGCTTGACAGTGTAATGGTAATCTGTTGTGCTTAGTTCTGGTATTACATGAACTGTCCGGATCCAAAGGAATTTTAGTAATCAACCAGCATCTATTAGCACGAAGTACCTTGGAAGTGGTATCCATCATCTCAGCAGAAGAGGTTATTTTCATTAATCGGGATCTAGAATCCCTATCCTAGTTATCCAGTAGTACAATTTGTCGGAATATTTATTCTTCAGCTTCAACAAATGTTTTATAATCTTCCTCTCTTCAGTACTGTTTCGTGAGTTTACATGTATAACATTTTCATGTCTACCTTGTTGCGCAATGGTATTTTTTCTGCAAAAAATATCTAGTGAATCCATGATGGGACTGAACTCTGAATTCGCTATTTCAGTGAGTAATCTCATATCTTTAGATTCCATTAAGTGACTGACGATTAAGACATTCTCCACTTACGCAGCGCTAACGAAATTTACAAGGATTCGCTTATGCTTTTGGTGTTTGATCTTCTTTCCTCGAGTAAGATATCTAACTGTTGATAGTCCGATTCAAGAGGATTTAAGATTACCATTTAGCTCTTGAGGCGGATTCGGAATTGTGTTGTGATTAAGTAATCGTTATGAACCTTGGACATAATAACACTTTTTGGAAGAGATGGCATTGAGTGTTTATCGTTTGATTGTTAAATTTCTATCCACTTCCTCACGAATTTTACTGGCTGGCTTAGCGATCCTAAGAGCCAACCATGAATACGGTTCGTTAACTAATTTCCTTCCAAATCCTGTACTGCTGAGTATCTTTGATGGCGATCCCCGATTAATTCTATACATACAGAACCTTTATTTTGAAACAGTAGCGCATTGCCAGTTTTCACTGTACATGTATCCTGCTTATGAAGCAAGAAAGTTGATTATTATTAATTTTTCGCTATCTAATAACAGTAGCGTATATTTGTTTTACCACGTCAACGAATGTTGTCAGTGTTGTAAATCTAATAAGCTCATTTTCAAACGTCCATCATAAACGGAGTAATGAATACAAGGTAACTAATCAATGATCCTAGACTTCACTTTAGTGTATCTATGATGATTCGAATTGCATAATAATGCAATCACATATTTAATTTGTCTGTTTTAAAAGTTGGACTTTATCATCATTACAAATTCTGAATAAATTGTAGCAGGACATAATTATTGACCAATTAAGATACTTTTTGACCAAAATTTAGTGTTTTAAAGAGTTCAAATGGAAATTCATTTTTAAAATTAGTCCAGTCTCCGAGAACAAACTGAATCTTTGAGATATCACCCATACTTAACCGTTTACGCTTCATTTCACACGATTATTTGGTCCATATATCACGTGTAGTACATTTTTAACACTTGATTACCATTGAAATATTAGCTAAGACTCTTTATGTGATAGTACTGTCAATATGGCTACAAAATACTCACTTCAATGGAGAAAAATTATCGGTCATCTTCATTCTTTCCTTCCTTTACAACAATGACATTGTTAGTCTTAAGATAACCTTATGTTCCATGAGATTAAGGATAAACGACTGATAAAATAAGAATAAAATAGATTTTTTAAGTTTTTTAGGTCTTTTTTGCGTGAGTGATGTTTATTTTCTTTTTATCATCAAAACATATCAATTTTAGCTGCAACCGAATGCTGCTTTTTATTCGAGTCATTGAAAGGCTCAATCAGTTTCCACAGGTTATTTTTGTATTTAAGGTTGTTAGCTAAATTGGTTTCCATGCAGAGTGTGGTCGCCGATAGCGCTCGGTTTTCTAAAAAGAATTTTACAGAATCCTAGGATCAAGATTCTTACCAGTTTACCTATTTATATAATTCTGATGTGTATTCTTAGCCACTGAAATTTTTTTAAATAAGAGAATATCATGTGTATTACGATGGTTTTGGTTCTACATTAGAATTTATGTTAAAAAGTGATGATATCTGGCTATTTGATTATTGACACCCATTTATTCCAAACGTTTAGCTTCTGCTTTTTATCAAAAGTTATTAAGTATGAATATCCTGGGAGTTGATTACCTAAAGGTAAACTTTTTTACTTTCAGATAATCTCTAAGCTTATTTTTTGAACAATAGTAGTGTCTATAATGCTCTAAAACTATTTAGTGGAGGCTTAATCGTAGTTAAATGGTTGTGACAACGAACTAAATGAGGTTCGAATCGCTCAGCCACAGGCTTTGAATATGCCACTACGTTTAAACGATGTGGTAGCATTCAAAGCCTTTTAACGGAGGAAATTCAAAATACATTTTTATGTGATTTGTCAATCACTGATGAAAAAGAAAAAGTTAAAGGAGTGGTATATCTCTCTGTTGATGTGAGCCCTACATTAATACGAAACGGCACAAATGCATCACTCCTGTAGCTGGATTATTTCACAAAAATTAGAAGAAAATTTGGATGCGATATCTTCAGTAAATCTGACCAACTTTGATCATAAATAATCTAAATGTACATATATCAAAGAAATATATTCAGCTGAAACGAAACATTAGCATAAAAAACTTCTTATTAGTTTGATGTTTAAATCTCAATTTCATATTTCTGACTGAGTTTACTCCTCATTGCTGTCTAGTGAGACGGCGACCAAGTTTTTGTTTGAAATAGAATATTGAAATCTTTTCGCCAGCCGATTCATGATGCACAAAAATATGCTTTTTCACGAGCGAGTACAATCAGACCGAGTTTGGTTTTAAAACAACTGTATACTGCATCCGAAGTAATCAATCAGTAAACCTTGCCAAACACTTCTGTACCACTGATTCAAACAAAATACCTGAAGTTCTTCAGATCACGAAACATCTAGTCATAAAAATACTGAATACGACTAAATTTCATCGCCAAATTGTAATTAGTTAAAAATATAATTAGATTACCTAAAGTCATCACTATGTCCAGAGAAAATGACTGATTTAAAATAGCCCATTTTGTCTGATCTCAGCTATTCACAAAAGCTGGATACTCCTCTACATATATGAACAGAAGCATCTTTTACACTTCCGACATGGAAGGCTGTACATTCAGAACACTCGTAACTTATTACGATTCATTCATAATTTACTACGTTCAGTATTATGGTATATAACTATATTAACAACATTGTTATCTTACGGTCAAACTTATTATTTGAGCGATTTCAGTGGAATATAAATCTATCCTAAATATGTTTTATTCAATAAAGAACCTGGAGGAAAATTAAAGAATAACAAATAAAGATAAGTCAAAGTATCAGCTTTATACCAACTGATAAGAATCCAAAACTGAGATAATGATTATAATATTCATTACTAACAGCTAAATGAGAAAATAGGTGGTGTTTACGTTGTATCCTTTGTGAATCACAAGGGAAAATTGTGTCATTTGACATTCTCGTACACAAATCATTGGTTTCAGTTTTCCTATGAGATCTCTTAATTACAAATCCACTAGCTTTTTTTCTTGATCTGCTTAAAACCTGCTTGATGACCGATTGGGTAAACTACGACAGGAAAAGTTCTCATTAATTTTTCAGCTGATATTTACCTGTCACGAATGCCATCTTGATCACAGTAAGTGCATTTCTTTCGATCAACGGTTTTTCAAAATACTTATGTGAATAAAATTTCCCAAATTTACTCAGTGACTCCTAATCAGTACATCATTTATGCTTGGAAGCTATATTTTGATGAGTATTTTCATGCAACCAAATAAAGCTTAAATGCAACAAGACATGAAACAGTGGTGTTTTTTTTCAGGTAAGGTTGAATCTTAGACAGATCTGTGGCATTTAAACAACTAAAAGTATTTAGGAATATGTAAATGTTCTTTTGTTTATCTCATATAAATTTTATTCCAAGTCTATTAACAGTTCTTTCAAAAACCACAAAATAAAGCTAATTCGTGATTATAAACCTTGATGAACTAGAAAATCACTGGGAGATGTTCAACATCTAGTGTTTTCTTCTTTAATTTCTTTAAGTAGCACAAAACCTCTAAATAATCCTTGGTATAATTGATATCATTTCATATAATCGCAAATTGGATTAATTTATAAATGGCATGGATTAGGTAATGCAAATCTCTTATGTGAATATTCTCGGTGGAGTTGCCAGAACTATTGACATTCAGGAGTAGTGTCGGTTAAACAACTAAAATCTCAATACCAGTAAACTAACGACTGAAATAAATCAGTATAAGTTGAGAGACTTGATTTTTTTCAAAACCATTCATACAAACCCAGATAAACAGAAAAGCGCTGTCTAGTGTAAACGCTAGTCTAGCTTAGTAGTTATAGGATCCTTTTTACTGCGCTGAGAAACAATGAATATCGCTTTTCTTATAACTGTATACGAAAAATCTAAAATATGCGAAAAGTTGCGGAACATGTGGTTCCCCATATGTTTATTCTTGATCCAAAGATAATTTTCTATGTTTACGGCCTATTTTTTTGTCCTCAATTGCAAGTATTTTTACAAAACGTAGTATTGTCTATGACTTTTGTTTATTATGGAATACAAAACTATTTTTAGCACTTTAAATATATCTATTTACTAAAATATGAGTTTTGGTGTCAAGAACCTTGAGACAATCTAACCATTTGTATACAGAGCCGTATATTACTTTCAATGTTATTTTTATCTGTTTAAAGTCACTGTTTGCGAATTCAGCCTATCGATTTTAGCTTATTTTTGAAGCAGCGAAGTTTGAATATGATTACTCGTATTCATCTTTGAGTGTATTCTCAAAGTTATTTCGTCATTCATGTTATATATCTGACGGTTAACCTGAAATAAAGACAGCATTGTAATATAAATGTTTGGTTGATATAAACTGTTGAAGGCCAAGCCATTATTATTATTATTATTATTATTATTATAACCATAACTTTTGTTGAAATTATTGTAACATGTTTACAACAGACCAGTTTTTTCTCTCTAAAAGAATGTTACTTGTTCTGCCAATCACGTATACATATATATATATATATATATATATATATATATATATATATACTTTAATTTGTAACTTAATTAAAATTTGGCGACTTATTGTGTGTGTAGTAAATACACAGGCTAAGCAGTTTCATTTAGATAATTTTATTTTCTAAATTATAAAGTTAAGTGTAATTATCACCAAATAACGACACCTTTCTCCTAAAAACAAGTCTTAATTGAAAAAAGTAGTATCCTCACAAATAGTTTAAATATTTTAAATACTACTGAAAAGTACAATATTAAATAATTTTTGTCATAGTAATTTATTAGTTTCAGAAACACGTTCATTGATTACCGATTTGCTAACTTTTCATTTTAACATAAGTTATAATATATACTTTGAAAACTTAAGATAGTCAAGATTAGATCATGTAAGTCATGTGAAAAGTCATTTGTAAAAATAAATATAGAAGAAACTGTAATACCCTGTGCTTTACTTTTTAAGTGTGACATTCATAGAAGAAACTATTTATATGATAAGTGTGTTGATCGAAAGGAGTGTAAATGTATGATTATAAAAATGATTGATACATGAGTTACTTATAGCAACAACAATAACTAGTCATAGTCTATTCACGTAATCATGTGTATTTAATACACGTAAACACACACACACAGACAAAACCTACATGGACATCAGGAAACAATTAAACTTGAGAATATACATCACATGATTTTGTAGAAAACAGATCAATACACACCAACTATAAGTGCTCTTTTAATGATACTTTCTTTTCGTCTACCTCATCAAGAGAGCGTAATTTGATTTTATGTGAATGATTGAATATATTGATTGACTGTTTTCTTTTATGAAGAACGGATTGCGATTATGTCAATGAAAAATATTTAAAACAGAATAAACTATATGCATTCTTTGCCATTTCTTGTCCTCATGCTCAATATGGTAACGTGCTCTAACAGTAACATTTTAGTATGTTAATAGTTATAATCTCTGAATTATTCATTAGAGAGAGTGTCATTCAGATGAACCGCCTTCCAGAATATTCTCGTTGCCAAGTTACTTAATCAATATATTAAACATAAATGAACGTCTAGTTTGATTAAATGCAAGGCTCATTATAAAGAAAATGAAAATCTATGTAAATTGTTTCTACTTAGTGGGTTTTTTACGTCCAGTAGCAATTGATAACAATGTTCTCAATATAATGTATATTATTATAATATATCATTAGAAAAATGTTACTATCAAAAGCTAGAAACGTATCAACGTAAATGGGAAAGCTACGCCCTACAAACTGTCTGAAGTTTTATAACATATGACACTGAGGACTGATGAGTACAGATAAGTATGATAAGCAGGAACATTAATTTCGTATATCATTTAGCATAATGACCATAAACTTCTAAAAAAACAAAACGTTTATTGGTTTTATTACATATCGAACATATTGAGTATCCAACATTTCAAACATTTTTCTGAGTGTAAGCTGATCAAGACATAAGTTTGTAGAGTCATACAGTCAGAAGACAAGAAAGAATACAAACATTTTAAAATATATTATTCTAATGATGGTTTATATTTTACTAAAACTGTGCTATCGATCAGCCAACGCAAATAACTGCGAAAAAACATACACTGACCTCTGAAATTTATTTAAGATTTGTAGATTTTATAAAATATTATTATATAATAATGAAACATTCAACCAAAATACCACACATACAATATATATATATATATATATATATATATATATATATATATATGAGTATAGTGAGTCATAATAAACGTTTGATAAGGTAAGAAATGATAGTATCAAAGATTAGTGTAAATAATTAGCTAAATTCTTGGATGTTTGAACTGCTACTAGGCTGTATTAAGGAAAGTGGCTAGGTTCATCGATCGGAAACGAGAGATACTTAGGGCCATCCTACACAGTACAACTACGTTTCATTCGAAAAAAAAGTGGCAATAGAAATGCATTAGTGATGCATCTGGATATCAACACACTGTTTAAATTAGAAAATATCTTACATCCAATTATTTTGGAAAAATTTCGTCGATAAACCCGATATTTAATTATGACATTGACTGAGATAATTTCACTCCTGTTACCTAATGTCTTGAAATGTTTGAGCAAAAGTTTCAGAATGTGTGATTCATTATATTATAATATAACAGTATGATTGGCTATAGACTGATACACTTTTATCAGGTTGTTAAGATACAGTGGTTCTGAAATCAGGTATAATAGGTATTAAAATTCAAACTAATAGCTTAGATTTTATTCACTTTTACATAAAAGCCATTAATACAGGACGTCAAATTACTAGTACCATTGTTTCTTTACTTTTCTACTGTATTTTTTCCGGTTTCTGTTTCTCCGAATTCCCATTTATGATCTATAGGTTCATCTTTTATATCTGACCTCTCTGCTCTTCAAAGTAAATAATGCTCAGTAAGAATTGCTGATCAAACCATTCTATGTCATGCAAAAGATCTGATGCACTGGTTAACATTGAGATTTCTCAATGGTGTAAAATGCTCCAGTTCATTAGGTTACTGTGGTTTTTCAGATGCTAATCCATCAAGGTACAGAGTAATCACAAATTATTCTTGAATAATAAGTAGTTGAGTTTGAAAAAGTGTGAGGTACATTTTTTCAAACTCATGTCCCCTTTCAAAAAAAATAATTTTCGTCATTTCAGTCATGTTCTAGTCAGAAACTAAGAGTGAGTCAAAACTGAACTGGCAGAATTTTTTCTCATTTGTTTAAAGACATATTACTGTGTCATTGACGATACAGTAAATAAAATGCACGGTATCATAAAACGTCCAGATTTAATCCTTTTGGAAACAAATTATATTGGTTACATATGTCGCCAGTGTTCATGATTATCTCAGGAGAGGTTTCATTTAGTTAATGCATAGTCAGTAGTATTAATGAATTACTATGCTTGATCACATGGATAAATTTGGGCAATGCAATGAGAAAACACGAACGTTATCAGAATTATGTGGTTCATTTTTGAAAGATATTTTGAACAATCCCGGTCATCTATATGCTTGTTAAGACGTTATATATGAAAAATGTATCACATAATTTTGGTAGACTTCGTCTATTCATCACGTTATCTAAATTTATCAAGGGGACCAAATATTTTGAATGACCAAGTCGCAATCAGTGTTTTTTTAGTAAATCCAACCAATAGGAATCATTTCAATTTTCAAAAAACTGTTGTTCAGATTAAAATATGATTATGAGAGGGTTGTTTATACATTGGTTTGTATAGAAATTCTTGCAGTTTAAAAACAATTCTTGTCATGAACCGATATTAACCAGAAGAACACAGGGTACCAAGTGACAAATGCATAGCGTTTTCGTTTCAGGTTGAGACTCTACAGTGTCGTTTACTTATCACTGCACGTAGGATCCACCTCAGAACCTTCGGCAATGAATACAACAAATCTAGACCACTTTTTTAATGTCAGTCAGTTTTCGAAATTTTATAGTCTTTATTTTACATGACTAGCAAGTTTTACCATACTCGTAACTTGTTTTATTCCAAAAGTCATGGCTCTCTACTAGAAATCCGAAAATATATCTCCTAGTAAATGAATTATGATCATAAGCTTAGGAATTATGCAAACGCTTGTGGACAACTATGATGATAACTTTTTAATTAAACAATGATAATCAACCAAAATCTTATTGGAAAACTCTTGCATTTTGATCTAACGCCACAGAGTTCATCATCATTCGATAAACTGCAGTAACTTATAAGCAATAGTACATTTCAAATCTGACTGAAACGAGTGTATGGATATTGCCCAATGGATAAAAGCTAACACTAAAGTACTATTTGATATACAGGTTAAAATATCGGATAAGATTATATTAAATATTCCATAGAGATATCAACCTCATGTCCGAATTATAACCATTATCGTTCAGTAACCCGACAGATAACAAAATTAGTAAACAGTACCTTAACCAATTATGATAGTGAACTAGAAATATCAATGTCTGTTTTTTGATTATCTAATGACCCTAAATGATCCAAAAATTAAACTTGAAATATGAAAATGAATTGTCAGGTGTCATTTAAAATCAATTCGTTCTACATATTGAAGTCAAGACTAGATGATTAGTCATAGTTTAAGTTCAACAAGACATAACTAATGAAAGCTTACAATGAAGAATTCAATTGTTGTTTATTTTTGAAAGATCTTATTGTTCAGATTAGAATAGATCACTATGCACTCCAAAAATGTGCTCATAAAACCTATTTTTCATGAAGTACTGAATAATGAGACTAGTTTCAAATAAATGATCACAATAATCTTTTAGATCCTTGTCTCTAAATCTAGTAAATAATTCAGTGGAACAATGTGCAGATAGTAAGCTACAAAAATAAATATCCAGTTCTTAATATGGTGTCATTGCCAGTGCCATATTGGATCGGTCATAATCATCTTGAAACTAGCGAAAATAAAATGGAAACAGAGAGCACAGAAAAACGAAGGCAGTAATTATAGTGATAGGTCAGCTCGGCCTATCAAATCTATCATGATTCAGCTACAAGGTTTGGCTTAGATACCATTGAAATTAGTGAAATATGCAGAGAATGGTGTTAGTGTAAGTCTATGTGAGTAAGGAGGTTAATTAATAGGCTCAGTAATAAAACGATTGTACATTTAAAGTTCTTATAATCTGACTTGTGGAATGGGATACACTTACAGTTGTCAACATATTTAAGGAATTCTCTAGAGAGTAGTAGGCATTCGTGCAGCGAATAAAGGATGCGAGTGATTTTATTTCACTGACAGATTATAGTAAGCTGTTCTAGAGTCTCGAAAATTTACTCGTAAAATAATTCAGATAGTGAGAAGATTTAGACTGAGGTTGTATCACAAATGATAAAGAGTTGCGAAAGCCGTAACTAGGCGTTTCTGCACTGACTGATGAAACCTATTGCACCAGATAACTAACTGACTATAAAAAATGTGCTTTCAATTTTTTTTAATTTTTCAGAAACTAAATGTATTCCTGAATTACTTGTTGAGGCAACCAAAGATTTAACTGTACGGTTGTCTTGTCAACTAGAACAATTGAGTGGAAGATTCAAAATCAATAAGGAAACACACAATAACACTAAACGAATAGAATATTGGCAAAATGAAAAAGTTCACTTTATCCTACTTAGTCGAGAGTGATTCCAACAAAAGTGTCAACAGTTTAGCAAATATTTCAAATTCAAATATTGAAATGGATTTACCGAGAATTACTGAATTACTTATAATTATTAAAGATTTAAATAAACAGGTAAGTGTACGAAAAAATTATTTGTCCCATTAATTAATTGTCTTTTTTTTTGCGCAGACTACATTAAAAGTGATTGGAGATGCAATTATTCTAGATATTAAGAAAAAACTTCTATTCAGTGTTGGTGATTTATTAGTTGATTCACAAAATATGGGTTTATACTTACCTGATGAACCAAGTCGTAAAGGGAAATTTTTGGAAGAAGAACGTCTTTTATCTGAATACATTAGTACTAAAACGGAAATCACTTTAGAGGTATGGTAAAAGAAAAAAACATCAATTTAAAATAATGATTTCGCTTGTTGCTTTTTAGTTTATCTACAAACGTCGTACAACCCCGCCATTTCATATGTCACCGACATTATTAAGTAAACTCTCCAAGGTACGGTTTGTTTAGAATGTACATTTATGTTAATATTCATACATAGAACTTCATCAAAACATTTTTCCGTTATGTATCTCGTGGGGAATGTCAAAAGGTAGAGAAATTGCTGTCGAAGGGATTTGATCCAAATATACATTGTCCAAAGACTGGAGGTAAACAACTGAATTTTCAGTTAAACAATATGTTAAAATCTGCTTTGAATTTTAGAAACTCCACTGACAGTAGCTGTTACACGATCAAAACCTCACGAAATGATAGCAACTTTAATCTCTGGTGGTGCACATCGTGATTTTTATTCACTATCTGGTTATACACCATTGCATAAAGCTGTGACTGTTGGCAATTTCGAAGGAGTCAAGGTATGTCAACCGTAACTGCTTTAATACTAGTCTTGTAAATGCTTAAAAAAGAGGGGTAATGATATAAAGCGACCTTAACTTGAACATTTAACAGACTGTTAAAATAAGTTTAATTTGCCTATCAGGTAAGGGGAGAATAACAACGCCATTGAATGAACTATAAACATACTTCACTTTTCGAATCTTTGTTCTATACAAACACCCGATTTATAAATATCAGTGGTTTCGTGTGTTGCTAGTATTTGGGTTTAAAAGAGCTCTGGCATGATCACCTGCTGAGTTCCATAACAAAAAATAAACACTGCTAAAGTGACTGACTTATTTGATGCATTTCTATCCTCAAATTTAGGGCTTTTACGACATTTGAGGAGAGTTGAATACATCTCCTGAAGACTCCGGTAACATGTAAATGTGAGCATTTTTAGTTATTTTTTGGTTAATCTCAAACGATACAACTATTTGTTGGGGGATAGAATTAATTTCCTGTCTATCGAAATTCCTAAGTTAACTTAATGTAATTAATATGGGACCGTAGTTCATGTCAAGAGTTTAATTCACCAATTTATAAGTGTTCAGATTTTCATTCAGTGTTACCGGAGCTGATCAGCTAGTAAATATTCTGAAACTGAAGTCCCCGTTTCACCATAGTCAACTGAAAACTATTAGTTGACTTCAGAAACGCTAACTGCCTTAGAGAGGCGAATAGTTGGAAAACTGTGAAGCCATTCGATGACCTAGATTCTTGCAATATTTTGAATTTTAATACGCTCAATTTTCGCTTTGATAATCTGTGATAAGGTGAGCGATATATGCTGGTGGCTAGACCCAGATGTGGTCAAAACACATATCAAAAATTAATATTTTGTACTATTTCTTGAATTATCAGTAATTTTTATTTAAAATATTCCTTAAAATGAAATTCTGCTGGCAAAAAGATAAATTTCTGAGGTTTTATTAAATAGTAACGATCAGTAGAAAGCATATCTATGCGGGGAAAATTTAGATGTCAGGTATATCAGTGCATGAACGTCGTTCAGTGATATTAAGTAAACTATTTTGTAAATTCAAACCATTCGATGGCATTTCTGTATTCCCATCATAAGCAACGTAGAACTTGATAAATGTGTTCGTCAGTTCAAACTTTCACCCTACATCAGAACAGTGTGTCAACGTTAACAGCAAGAATAACAAAGTAGCATAGAGAAAATGGGATTCGAAGAAAATGAGTGGACTTGTATAATCGAAAGTATAAATTTTAAGGTAATGTAGAGAGTGATGAAAAACTTCTCTTGCTAACGAACGGATTTGAAGCACCTGTGTTTGAACTCGTGACTCCACTGTTATAAATACTAACAGACTGTAAAGAAACAACTATTCAATACTTCTTGCTATTGAATAGCTCTACCGTTGTTGTCAGTTAGTGAAAAGCAATAAATTCAAGTTAAGCAATCTTCTTATACTTTTTTATCTCCATTAAACTCACTTCCAATATATATATATATATATATATAAGAACTGTGTTTCTAATTCTTTACAGACATTATTAGATTTCGGACAATCACCAAATTGCTTAGACAGATATGGCTTGACTCCATTGTATTATAACATACTTTATGATCCCGATACAAAAATATGTCATAGTTTATTGTATGAACATTCAAAACTTGGTATAACCGATAAAGATGGTTTGCAAGAAATACATCAGGTAATTGTGATTTTGATCAGTGTGGATTTTTTTTTAAAAAATATTTTATCTTTTTACTTTACCAGTGAATTCCACACTTTATTTAGTTTTAAACCCATGAAAATATATTTTGAACTTGGTGGATTAGTAGGTTGTATTAGGTAGGGAGAAAAATAAATCACTAGAATTATGTTTAGCCTCAGGTTAAAATGACTCATTAAAGGTACCAATGAAAAATCTAAATCAGCCTAAATCTAGACCTTGTGGCGACTGCTCAGAAAGAAATATGGTGATACAAATTTGCAGAAGTCATTCTTAAAAAAAAAATTAAATTCACAACACTGAATTTCATGTAGCAATGAAAATAAAAGCATTGAACTTTTAGTGTAAAGCAATCATACCAACTATGCATTGATTAACATCGGCTTATAGATGATATTTTTGTAACATTCCCAGGTGATATGATAGAGCTAACTCATATATATATATATTGAACATTGAATTCAATTGTATGCGACATGCTGCAACATCTAACAAAGTCATTTTTATAATAAATAAACAAATAAATTTTATTGAATTATCAATGAAAATAAATTCTTTCTTTTGATATATAACAAGTTGACAATTGTGAGATGACATGTTTATCAAGTTTCAAAATAATTTACATCAGACACTAACACCAATTAAAAATTCATTCCTTCACAATCATTAAACAACAGCATTGGTGTTGTTGTGCGTTGCAATAAAAAATATTGTTTTCATTTCTAATGTTCATTGATCAATGAAACATTGCCAATTTCTGCCTAGCTTCATATAAACAACTTTTTTTTTTATGAAGTATCTAGTTGATGTCATTTTGGAATTAGAAATGCAGTTTGCTTAGTTATCAGTCGTTGAGTGACAAGCTGTAATGTGAGAAATTACCGTTTGACCTGTTGTTTATCAAACATTTAAATGACAGAGATGTAGTTGATTTATTAGTGACAATGCTAAACAACGATTCAACATAACATTCCAGATAGAAAAAAAAATTGATTAAAAATAATGCGCAGTTCAAAAGAGCCGAACAAAATCTATTAATCTGTGACTGAAACTACAGAAATTGTACACAAAATCAATAATCATTAGTAAGTGTTACGTATAAAAAAAATCTTCATAAACTCTAAGGTGAACTGTTTGTGCTCGGCAATGCACACACCGATGTATGGAATGATTAATTTAAGGTGTAATCGTAACCAGTTAATGCGATAACAGAATTCACACATTCATCTTTTTCCACAGTCGTTTTGTTTCTCAAACGAAAATAAGAAAAAAAATAGTTAGTTGTATTAATTAAGATTCAATTTGTACTTTTATTTCATCTAAGCAACATACAACGTAAAATTACATCGAAAAATGCTGGAAATGGTCGATTTATTTTTCTAGACAAAATTCAATAATTTTAGCAAAAACAATTCAGTAACCGCATATTAATGTAGTCTAACAGTTAACTGTTAAAGAGAACGTAGTATCTATCACTTAATCTGCTTTACTAAACTCCTTGTAAGCAAAATTAAAAAGTAGTGCAAAAATTTTGTTGTTACTTCTGAGACAACTTTATGGAGTATTTCTATGTGGTTTCAAGTAATTGTAAATTATCCCTAACTATGCACAACAATGCATGAACAGGGAGTCAATGATGTAACGTCAGGATATGCTTACATACAATATTGATCAACATTATCAAGGTCACGTGATACAGTCATAGAACTCACAAAGTCATTGATGAGTGATTAGTGACTGACATTATATGTACTGATTCCTTCCTAATCCCAGTCGAATTCTACTGATTTAGTTGTAATGTGGTCAATAGTTTAAGTGATTGACAAATATGAACTATGGGTTTAGAGTTTTCTGTCGACTGACTTCACCTTCCAGCAAAGCTCTTTCATGCTCTTTCAAATTTTTACTTCTCTCTCTATCAGTATCAGTGTCGTACAAAAAGTACTCTCAGATCCAAGTTTAACTAATTTCACATTATGTTAGTATCACGAATAGAAAATCAATTTTTTATTGATAATGACAAATTCTTATTTATTCCATGTGTAGTCATATTACTTATTGGTTGGTAATCAAATTAAACTGTAGGTATTTACACTTTTAAATAAAGTGCATTTCTCTAAACCATAAGTTAATCACAGTATAATATTAATAATTACTCTCATTATTGTTCTATTGATAAAAGCTAATATTTACACTTTGCTAAACATTTAATGTTTACATAAATATAAAAAAGATTGTTTTCTTTTTAAAATGTCAAATGACAGTTTCATTATTATTATAAGAATACTAGTACTAATAATAATTATTATCAATAGTTCTATGGCTAACAAGGCTATCCAAGAGCGGATATCCTTGTGAGTATATGTTTGTCCGCATACAAGACTGCATTACTTTGGTCATTGACTGTTATTTGATGAATAGCCAAAGAAAAGTCAAGATAACAATAAGAGGCCTAACCATAATATTTCTTAACTGTTTTTCTTCAATATTTAAAGTCTTTAAGGCTGCTGATAACCATTAAACAACAGAAACCACTGAAGAGCTGTTTTAATTTAGTAGGTCACGCCTCACCAATGTGGACTGATAGCCTACCTACCGCTGGTCGAACTACTAGACTTTAGGCTTTGTGAAGAGACGTTAGCTTTTAAACTACCAAGGTGGTAGCGTCTTTTCTGTCCTTGATTAATTCGTGATTTCTTTGCAATCAGCGGTGCAAACCATTGAATGACAATTCATCTCTTTTTTTAATCAGCACATTTTATTAGGCTGAATGAATAAACAGACTAACTAAACTAATCTAGTTAAGAACATTGAACAAAGTAAACTATGAATATCAGAAAAGATCATTTTACAACTAAACGTAAGCAAGCAAAATACACCAAAATGGTTCGATTTATTTTTTCTGGTTAGCGTGTTTTTGGCAAGTTAGATTTTTAGTGGGATGGGGTCGCCAACCCCATGCCCAACCCTCCTCCTTTATCCGAGCTTGGGACCTGCAGTAGCCCTGTATGTTCTGCACGTGGAGTTTACCAAGACCTGCTCAGTAAAATAAATTCTTCTTATTTAGTGGTACCTCATCAGTTAGATAGCGAATAAATTTACAAAGAACGATACGACTAAAAAAAGTTTCAATATGATTGGTTATTGGGGTTGATATTTACACAACAACAATACTTTCAAAATATTCAGAACAAACCACGAACATTATTATCTCTTTACTTTCTAATGATTATTTAGATCAAAAGCTTTTGAACGTTATCTCTGCTTACCGAAAAAAAGGTGGTAAATCGCTCCTAGCTGAAGTAAATAGAATTGTATTCATTTTTTTTCTAAATAGTCCTACTGATGTCCATACTTGGTCTTGACTTTAATTACTGAGATCTATTATTCTATAATCACTAAGTAATTGCATAATGATCGGGCGATACCTTATTATATTTTGTCGTAATTGTTAGTAAATACACTTACTGTACTTGACTGGCTGTCTGGAGGGATTTGTGGAGATTGTAATATTTTCGTAGTTGAAATCACGAACCGATCATTGTTAGACCACCATGAGAAAACCGGAAGTACTGATTGAGACTCCTCAACAGTGAGCATCTCCGATTTCCACACGAGAATCAGACAAACGACCAATGGTTTCACGCATGAACGATTAAACTCTAAACCATTGAGTCGGAATCCAGTGGTGCTAATGCTTAACCTTAGTCAATAAACAATCTTCCGTAACCTTTATCGATTGTCTGCGTGGATACTAGCGAAGGGGATTTGAGGCTGTTCAGTGCTTCTAGGTTTCTAATGGTGGTCTAACGAAGATCGATTTGTTATTTTATTCATGAAAATAGACGTCTGAGTAAATCATAGCCTCGTTTAGTACTAGTCTAGTAGTCCATAACATTTTCTCGATTTTTGGATCCTTTTCAAAAACCCATGTAAACTTCAGCAACTAAACTATATTAAGATTTTTTTTCTAATAATGTTACTCATGGTAATATTAAATCACTTGCAGTTGATGAAAAACCTTAGTTAGAATACCTAATTTCATTTTTTTCGATTTTAGTATTTTGATTCTCTTTAAATATATCAAAAAATTAAGTTGTATGCAACAATTCAAGGTTGAATGGAACACAGACTGACAAAACAGTAGTCTGAAACCGCAAAATTTCTTTCTTTTTTTTATTGAGAATATTAGTATTTAATAACATAACAAAATCTGCTCCGTTTATTGAAACCAAAACAAAATGCTTATCATCAGAAAGATTGATATATTTATTACATGATAAAATGCTGTTTTGCTCATGCCAATTTGAAACAAAGTATTGATTTTTCTAATTCGTATCTTTTAATTATGCCATACTTTTAAAACGAAAAAAAAAAACGGAAAACTCTTTGAAAAAGTATATATGTTTTTAAAAGTAATAATACTAGAAAAGTATAAATAGAGAGTACTCATAAATTCAGAACTATTTAGCTATTGTCGATTTGAAGCTCACAATTCTGAATTGTGTGCACACATATATGAAACTGTGTGTCTGGCTAGTACATGTCTGGTTGTCTGCCGATTTACTTAGGTTGGCATTTTTTTAAAATATGCAGTGGCTTTATTGATTTCTGACTCCAAAGTGTATTTGCTCATATTTATCTTTTGATTTTTCATCATGATAACAAGGAAGTTTATTGAAGGCAACAGATCGTTAATTTTTAATAAACTGATTAGTTATTGTATCAATATTTTGATTCATGTTGCATTGAAGAACTTTGATGAACATACGCTTTAGAATGCACCAATTATCCATACATTTTCGAAGGCAGGATTACTATTCAACTAGTGTCTTTCGAAACTTTAGAGAAGGTTTTCTAAGATGTTCAAAATATATGACATGATGAATACAGCAAACACTGGCACAAGTAGTACATAGATTTTAACATGAGCATTTAAAATGAACTGAAGTTCTCGAGACTGAAAAAGGAAGTCAATA